TAACTGTGCAGAACACCAGAGCTTCTGAGTCAGAGATACGCCGGGCTGACCGCTGGGTAAAACCGGGTGGAACACAGGTCTCCCGAGAGCTCCACAAGCTAGCAGCCGCTCAATCAATCAATCAATCAATCAAAACTTTATTAATCCCAGAGGGAAATTAGAGTTTCAGTACACGTAATTCAGAGATTAGACATACATGGGCAAGACACATGACAAGAATTGGTGACTGTGGTCCTTCGCAACACGAGTCGCGCTACCTTGATAGATGAAAAGGGAATTACATGAGGATAAATTGGGGGAGGGAAAAAAAAGCAGCTCAGCAGACAGGCGCCGCTGCGGTCAGAGATGCACCGAGCTGCAGCTGAGGGGAGGGAACCATACCGATAGTGGGACCCCAGCTCCACCAACATGTTATATTTCAACCCATTTTCTAAAGTGCAGCATTATGTTAAATGCACTGGGTTTTACCCTATTACATTTACATTTCATGGTTAAACAGTACATGTTAACATCTAAGCTCAGCTCGGCAGTGACCTAAAATACATAAATATAATTTTACTTACCGAAGAAAATGAAGTGGAGACTCCTTGGACGCTCTATTAGTGCAATTAATGCCACAGCAAGTCATTTTGTCCAACTATTGCACAAAAAATATCCAAAAAGAACGCACAGACACTACAACTAATGGTCTAAGTTGAGAGACTAAAAATCGCGGAACAGTTTTAAGGCGAGGCTCAGGCTGAGGCCTTACCCTGGAGCTAGCTCTGCGGTCACGTGGGTCTGATGCTCATTAATTCAGAATTTTAGGCTCTTAACTCATTCTCTGCCAGCCGTTTCCTGATCGGTAAAGCCCTTCGCTGCCAGCATTTCTGCCCGTTTTTACTGTTTTTTTAAGAGTCACAGAATGTTGCACGCTAGGATGATATCGACGCCAAAACTACCAAAACAATGAGGAGACTCACCTCTTACATCAGGAAGAATCTGCGTGTTTCGTGCGTTATCTGTTCTTTCATAATCCGTTGTTAAATTATGATCGGCAGAAGCTCTTCCAGTTCGCGCCTCACTTTTTTTTTTATAGCAGTGGCCCAAAACCATCTCCTAACACATGGATGTTCTGCTTCCTGATCATGTGACGCGTGGCCTATGCGGATGAAGATCGGCTTTATGGGCTCGACACACGGGAGGCGACATCGCCTCTCCTCCATTCATTTTCCATGAGACATGCGCGACAAAGCGATAATCGCGGGTCTCCCTCCTACTAAGCGAAACGTGAAAAACGTGCGTGTGAAATGTTGCGCTCGTGCACGTGTCGTGCACAGGCGACCCAGCGAAGCGATCCCAGAAAGTTGAAACATTTTCAACTTTTCATCGCTGTCGCTCGGACGAGGGCTAATCAACGGAGGTTTCATTCACTGACCAATGAGCGGACAGGATGCTCCGTACACCTCCGAGCAAACATGGAGGAGAAGTTGATTATTATTATGTTTTATAGTAAAATCAGAAGTAAGATTTCACATAACTCTAGCAGCACCTTGTGAAACATCATATCTACCGCTTTATTAACTCTGAACCGCTTAAATAACCTTAATTCCCTCCAACCTGACACAGCCAATCAAAACAACAGAAGTTTCGATTTCGCCAAGGGACAGAACGTGGAGACGGCTTTGCCGCTGGCCGCTGCCGCGGGTCGCCTCCCGTGTGTCAGGTAATAAAAGCGACAGCGACAAATTTCGTTGATCGCGGTCGTTTGTCTCCTCCCGTGTGTCGAGCCCATTAGAGCTGAGATGTTTGTTGTCACGGTGCGAGGGCTTGTTCCGACGCCCACACAGTAAAAAAATGCAAATGACTACTTTAGTCATCATTGGCAGTGAATGAGTTAATACACTTAAACAGAAGAGTGAGAAAAACATTCACCCCCCTCAGAGTTGTCATGAGTGTAAACTAGATCATTTAAACCAAAAACATGTTCTGGTACCAGGCTGTAAACATGTTTATTTCTGCTGGGAAATTGGTATTTTTAACATGGGAGTCAATGAGGATTTGCTCGCTTCTGACACCAGCCCCTAGTGGATGAGCGTGGAACTGCAATTTTTGTCACTTCCTGTTTTGCTTCATATCCAGACCAGAGTTATGGGGGCTTGGTTTTGTCAGACCGGGTGTGGGTGGAGCTTCGTTAAAACAATCGATTCATTTCTGGGTATAAATTCAGGCTGACAAAAGTAACTCTTGTTTAGGATAAATGACATTAATAGGGTCAACGGTAATATTTTACCATATATTGTGCCAAACTTTGCTCTCAAAGATTTAAAATGGCACAATCTGGCCGTTTGAACAACGTTCTTACATGCTATAAATATTTTGTGGAGAAAATTAAAAAAAAAATAATAAATTTTACAAATTGGTTATCTCGCATTTGTCTAAAAACCTTTGCCAAGAACACATTTTAGACCGAAGGCAACTATTGGGCCATCCGGTTGTCAATCTGGCCTAACCACCACACCTCCCTTGGTCCTCCCCAGTGGCGGTTCTACATCGAATTACTCCCCGGGCGAGGCCCCCTTTGAGCGCCCCCCCCCACCACCACCACCACCACCACCACCACCACCACCCCACCTGCATGAACACACGCATGTTTTCTACAAACAGGCATGTTTTATTAGAACAACTATTGAACATTCATTTTTCTAAGTTGCACATATTTACATTAATTACTATGAAGTTGTCAGAATGTAAATCACTATACATTATATACTGTATCAAAATATATAGAATCAACTATACAAAAACAAACAATAACTAAATATTAAGAATATATGAACATAATAGATAATAAATATTCTAAATAGCAAAAATATTTCACACATAACAAACTAAAGATAATCACTACAGCACTGCACTTAGAATAGAAAACACAAACTAAAATTAAAACCTAACCTTGATGCAACATCATCAATAATGTCATCATATGAAATCTGCTCCCCTACTGAGTGATTGATACTAATCAGAGCCAGGTTAGTGAGCCGCCCCTGAAACATAGGTGACCTCAGGCATGACTTGATCAAGTTTTGAAAAGCTCCTCTCAGCTTGAGCCACAGTGACTGGCAGAGCAGTCCAAAAGTTGGGGTAGATCTCCAATAGATCTCATGATCCATAATATTTTAGAATTGCCTCTGAAATTGTAATTTAAACTGACATAAAAAACTGTAGACTACCAAAAATGCCAACTTTTACAGAACAAATCATGTAAAAAACAATCAGTGCAGCCATCTCCAATAAATAAACAGGATAGTTAGTGGTGACTGGGGTGTTTTCTTCAGCTTGTAGAATTGTTTTATTTATTATTATGTGAACATGATCAACATGTGTTTGTTGTTGTTCAGGCAGGCCACAGGCTGCAGTGAGCATTTAACAAATCCTAGTTTGAATGAGTAAAAAACGATTCAAGGACTTTTTTCAAACCATTTGAATATTCGTTTCAATATTTCAGCCCTATTAGCTCTGTTAGCAATTAGTTGACCGCATTTAACCGTTAAAATCCCAGTTAACTGGTTCAAATAATTGAAAACATGCATCATGAGAGCTACATACCTTTATCGTTCTCCTCTTTTTTCTTTTTTATTCCTGAATCGGGCACCTGGTGGTTTTAGCCTTTTTTATGTTCATCTCTTCTGTTTGGCTCTTGACTCAGTAAGTTTCCTTTAGTCAGGACTAAACTATTTGACCTTGATGGGGGGGGTGACCACAAAATCATTTTTTTCCTTTTTTTATTCGGCCATTTCACACAATTCAGAGAAACCTGAAAGAATGATAGGCCTGTGTTTATGATATTATGAATGAAATATGGAAGAACGTTAAGATGTGATTGACTTTAGCCATCTTAATACAGTTGATTCAGCCCCTACCCGCTCATTTATTTGGGAAAGACGCAGAGGTGAATTCCCCCGCCGCACCCCTCCCCTTCCTGTTCTTCATAGACACACGGAGCACGTGAACGTTCAGCGCCTGCAGCTGCAGGGGGCGCCAACTTGCTGTTTCCAATCCAGACACTGTCATATGACAGATAATAGAAAACCTCGGTGCGGCGCAGATTTCCTGTTTTTTTTTTTTTTTACTCCGCGCTTGTGCGCCCCTTTTGTGTCATGAAAAAATGCCGCCCCGGGCAACTGCCCTGTCTGCCCGTGCCTAAAACCGCTACTGGTCCTCCCCTCATTAGACACCCACGTAATCAGCAACAGAGCACCACCGGTGTGAGAGGTTCTCCACTCAACAATATCAGAAGAAACAGCCGGCTGCTTCCACTTCAACTTCAGGACAAACTACCAGAGTCCCAAAAAAAATAAAAACACCATTTGACGTTCCCGACACAAGACGTTTGGACCTAGAAAACAGAGACTGGTGTTTAGTGCTGTTTCGTTTCATCCAGCATTGCAGGTTTCAGGTCGGGTAGACGTGTCTCAGGGAAGACCATCAAAACCTAGCTTGTTCTGTAAATTTGCTGTAAGAACCGAATGATTTATTTATTTATCTTTAAAGTTTAGAAGTGTTTACTGCTGAAAATAATTTAGTCTGATGTATTTCTGTTGAAATCATACAGTTTACCAGACGATGGGACTCCTAGTGCTTCAGGTCTCGTTCACAAAGGTCGTGCTGGTTCTATTTGAAAAATGATCACCCGTGCAGGTTGAACAAGAAAAATGTCTTCAACCCCGTCGCCTGCGTCGGCTACAGAAATGAAATGAATGAGGAAAGGAAAAAGCCAGTCTCTTCTAGTTCAGAGAAAATCGGTTTTAATTTCTAACGAATTTGCTGGAGGACAAGGAGGAGGGTAAAGCTTTTAGCTCGCCACTCTTCTGACCAACTTCTACCCCCGACACGGGAACCCCAGAGCTACAAAACTCACAAGGCATTAATTTCTGCTAGACCACAGCAGATTTATTCAGAGCTTTAATGTGTGATCGGGTTTAGACAGTCGGGTTTTACTTCCTGTCTTGTACTTCCAGGTAGTTTCGGTGAATCGCACGCTGGCGGAGAGGAACCAGGCTGTTTGGGTGGATGGATTTTAACTTCTTGATGTCATCTGAGCTTCAGACACCTCCCACCTTCTTCCTTTTCTACTTCTGTGGTCTGGAGTCCATGGATAAGATGAATCCATCTCCATAAGACACACCACTGGGCCTGAGACTCGGCCCCCATCATGCTCCATTCTTTTGAAGTTAAATAAACTTTATTTTCAGTCATAATTTACAAGAGAGCAGCACTGACTCTGCTCTTGTCTACCACGGTGAAGGAAAGGAGACAAAATCTGTTTTGTTTTTTCAAACCCATGTTCTGTTTCAGACCTGACTCGGTCTTCGCACGCTGTAGGTCATGAAGGGAGCCGACATCGCTCTATTCCAAGTAAACGGGCAATTTGAGGAGAAAATGAGAGGGTGATTATTACAGCCGCCTGTGACCCTGGACTAAACGGTTTCTAACGGATCTGCTGCTTCACACTAACCGTTAGCACTGAGCAAGCTCTTCATCTCGTTTAGGGTGGTTTTCTTGGCGGGGTCAGAGGTCACCATCAGCCTGCAGCAGGTTGTTCTCAGTCGTACTCTTTGTGTCATCAAATCTGAAGACCGTCTGGAGGTGTTAATCCTCCTCTCAGTGACGACACGCAGACACTGTAGTGGCTTTAAACTCCGTTTGGGTGCATTTAAACCGCTCTAGGGGAGGAACTCGAGCCGCTTGTACGGTATTTTCAACAGCTTGTGCTCCTCGTGCGGTCCACGTCCTCTGGTTTAACAGAACGTCCAGTAGAAACCAAACTGGTACGTGTGAGTGCCGGAGGAGGAAGAGGCCATTTTTAAAAGTAGCAGGAGGAAACGCTGCATGAAGTGGTGCTTCTTGTTGGTATAAAGCTAACAGGAAGTGTTGAACTAAACTCACTGTGTTAATGTTTGGCAAACGCCTCTTTTCACCACTTGTGGTGAGCTACGAGAGCAAGGCCTTCCTGGAAGATCAGCTTGGCTTGGTGAAATGTTTAGCTCTGGAATGTCCGGTCTGTTTTATCACCGGTACGGGGACCGATGCCCATTACCAGTAATGGACGACTGGTGCGTTAACTGGGAGTCAAATGAAGTAACACGTTTGACTAAAACGAGACATTTTAGCTCCTTCATCACAGCAGCGAGAGCATCAGTTCTGTGACGTTAGCCCACTCTTCCTGTTCTCCGCGGTCCTCTCGTTTGCACTAATCACCTGAATAATGAGATACTAGAACTTTCTCTTTTAATCCTTCTCATCCCACGAGACTGAAATCCAACCATTTTAACAATGAGGCAGCTTAATGTAGGCTAATGAAGGGGAGGAGGGCAGGGACAGTTGGATGTTGTGAAACAACACTAAAAACACCCCGGGGACAACCTGTGCTGCTGATGAAGGGAAACGGGACGCGTGGCTCAGGCTGAATCACACAGGTTGGTGCCGGACTATCCAGACCAGCCCTTTTGGATTTTTGACTTCCCTTTTTTCTGTTTCACCTCATCTTGTCTTGCTTTTGTTTGATTATTTATTTTTTTATTCTCTATAATCCTAGAGTGAATATAATTGTTTTCATCTAGCAGTTCATTTATTACACCGTAAGAGTTATCCAGGCTTTTGTCCATTTTGTAAATACATGACTGTATGTTTGTATAACAATGAGAGGAAAGAAGATATAAAGGGAACGCTATTTTTTGTTTAGTTTGTTCCGAGTCATCCTGCCTTCTCCTTACTGTTTTCAAGCTAAGGCTGTAAGTGTTGAGTATAACTAGACTCTGGTGGGCGTTAAGCAGCTGTGCCCAAAAGCATTTAAATGAAGTGTACAGATTTGATTTTGCTAGACACACATTAGGTTTGAGTTGTACAGAAATATAAGTGAAAAATAAAAGTTATTGGAAGTGGTTCTGGTACTTTCTGTGTTTTTACTGGAGTTGGAAGTGATGAGACGTTTGAGTCACCAGTTTTATTCTTGCCAGCGCAAACCAGAGCTTTTCTTTAGTGAACATGTTTGATTTTACATTTAAGGGATGTTCCACCCAAAACAGAATCTGTTTGTTGGCACATTTCTCAAAGTTGGATAAGTGGGGAAACAATTATATTTTTGTAATTGTTGAACAGCAGAGAAAACAAAAGTCTTACATTAACGGTCATCATTCAATTTACACTGATATCCAGTCAGTAACAAGTGAGATGAGTAAACAATAAACAATAACACACAAAAAAAACATAAAATTGATCTTTGAATGTTTTAATGGGGCGTTTATCATCCCTGTGGGTTCTTTAGAGCAATACTTAGTCGTTCATTTGTTTATGCATTCTCTTTACACACAAGTTTAGAAGTCCCATCACAACCTCGTAACACAGTCTGGAGTTCCTGTCCCGTTCCATCGCCACCCGCCAGATTCCAACCTGTTCAACGCATCGCAACCACCTTTTCCAAATGAAGGTAACGTTTGCAAGATCCAGGTTAGTTGCATAGGTTAGCTTTTCCACATTATAGCTATCCCTCATCACCTCCATCCATTCATGCACTTCTGGTATCATTCTGCTTACCCATCTCCTTGGAACCTTTTTGCTGGCTAAGATACCTGTTCTCATAATCTTATGGTCAGCCGACCTTTTTAGTACGATTGTTTTGTGTCTTCCCAGATACATATCTTCAAATGGAAAAGGGATATTCACTCCAAGAACTTCATGATTCTTTTGATATGTACCCAGTACTGTTATCTATCGTAGGACATCCCCAGGATATATGGAAGTGGTTGGCTTTTGCTTCTCCACAGTGTCTCCAACAACCCGTTTCTCCATATTTTCTTTGTGCCAGAGTTATAAAATGGCTCATTGTGTTTTTCCAGGCATATTCCCTCCAAGAACTCAATCTGGATATTTTCTATTGGTTTTCCTTTATTTTTTCCCAGTTCTCTATTGGAAAAAACCCATTTTTTACCAGCCCAGTCATTCTCTTGACCCAGCTGTACTCCTTTAGCTTTAGCTTAGCATAAAACACGGTTTGTTTGTGAATGGTTCCAACTAATGTGAATAAAAAAAAAGGCCTAAAATAACTTTGTAGTGATCCCAGTTCTGCTTGGCGACCTCAATAATCAGACTGACTGCAAGTGAAAATGATTGGTAACAAAAAGGTGCCATTTTAGATTTGGGACTACTTTATGACAAAGCACAGCCCCAAAGACACCTGCTTCTGTAAGCACAGGTGCACACATCGGAGAACTGGCATAACACATTCACTATGACAGCCAGAGGGAAAAAAGCACATCACATTTGTGCAGGAAAGACTGGAGCTTGTGTTAGCGATGGGCTAAACCCGTGCAGCCTTCTGCAGGAACAGACACCTGACTGATCAATAAAAGCCTGCTTCTCCTAAATAAATCATTTGAATGACCCGCTTTCCGGCCTGAAGCCACTCCATCTGCAGCACAAGGACAGGAGTACAGCAGGAATTAGTCCTATTAAATGTGTTCAGACTGTAAAAAATTGGGAAACTCATCGAACAGCTCTGCAGAAGGCCGGTAATATGTTACTAAAGATGCAACGCTTCTCAATACACGGAGGGTTTCACTCCCAATCTGGGACACCGAGCGAAGGGAAGGAGGGAGGCTGAGGAAAGGTGAATATCAGAATCACTATAAAGGATGAATTGACTCAAATCATGGAGTGTGTCAGTGAGAAAGCCCCCAGTGACGAACGTCTCTGGCAGCAGAAAGTCGATGAGGAAAAGGAGGATTAGGAGGAAGAGGGATGAGAACCTTCCCGGCATGTACCACAGGCTCCGGTGTTTTTGTAACTCATGCTTGAACTTTTTCATTCGGAAATATTTCATTTCGTATCGTTTTTGATTATGGCTACAAACCCAAAACTCAGTGTCTCCGAAAATAAAGACCGTTTTAAAAAGTCAACTGTGATGAACCTTGTGATGTCACACACCCTGATCATTAAGTAGCTTGGGAGGTTCCTGGTTCTCTGGACGGACTCGGTCTGGGTCAGTAGGCTACACAGTCATGGGGAAGACTGCTGACTGGACTCATGTCCAGAAGACACGCCATCCTCAAGGAGATGAAGCTACAAGGGGTCATTACCAAAGAGGCTGCTTGTTCACAGAGAGCTGCATCCATGTTTGTAGAAAGAAGGAGAAAGTGGACCAGCAACAGGAAGAACCGCGGCCTTGAGAGGATTTCAAGAATCTGGCCGAGCTTCACCGTAACTGGACCAGGGCTGGCGTCAGCCTGGTGCTTCTGTACACATAATATTCCTTTTTATTAATGTTCTAGTTGTTTGAGACGCTTGATTTTGTGTTTTCTCCTCTGTAGCGTCATCAAAATAACAAGAACTAAAGCCTTGAGACCCCATGAGGAACAAATCTGTATAAAAGAGAAGAGAGTGTCTTTATTCTGCTTTCTTTAGTTCAACCCAGACGTGCACACACACCGGTAGGCTAATGCGGGCGCACTGACACAACTTCTACACTTCTTCTATGGGATGACAGTTTTGATTGTTTTACTTTACAATCTTTACTTTACAACACATGAAACATATACTTCTCATCCAGACGTCCACATCTGCTCACACCACAAATGAGATAGTTGAACATGTCTGTTGTGCAGAACTGCTGCAGTCTGGGCTCCGGTCTTGGGTCTATCATATGGGTCTGTTGTGTGTCTGTCTTACTTCATTCAGCAGATGGGACACTCTGAATTGAACCAATACTTGCTTTAATGAACAACTCCTGCTTCATCACATGTTGCTTCCCGCCAGCCTCATCTCATTCCCCCACTTCCTTCTTCTTCTTCCTACGTACCGTTACGACGTAACGGTTACATCATCACATTCCCAATACATGACATCACTTTTTTTTAAAAACAACAACGTTTCTCCTTAACACTGAACGTTAACCTCCCACACCAAGAACCACCAGTGTTACCCCTTCAACTCTGACCTCTGTCACTCAAACAACTTTATATTTACCTCACACACGTCTGCATATTATTACGAACACTTCAGGCTTCTTTAAAGATGTTAAACCTACTTTAACACAAAATCACCCAGTCTCTGGGGCATCTTTCTGAGTCTCTGGGGCATCTTTCTGAGTCTCTGGGGCATCTTTCTGAGTCTCTGGGGCATCTTTCTGAGTCTCTGGGGCATCTTTCTGAGTCTCTGGGGCATCTTTCTGAGTCTCTGGGGCATCTTTCTGAGTCTCTGGGGGGTCTAGTCTCTTGGGTCATTTCCAGACCTGGTGCGCCCTCTTGTGGTGTTTCAGTGTCAATGTCCACGGGTTCATTTATCTCTTCTTGTCCACTCTGCTCCTGTTCGGTCGCCTGTGTTTCAAACGTTTTCACATGTGAAGTATTCCGGCGATAACGTACTCCAGCTGGAGATTCAACAACAACCTGATTGCCACATTTACTTACAACTTTATGTGGTGTTATGTTGAATGGGGTAGTAAACTTGTCCATCTTGTCCTGTTTCATCAGCACCGTGCTCCTCTTCGCTCATCTGCATACAGCTTTGACTGACCCTTTTGTCACGAACGCCCATCGCTGTTGAGCTCGACCCACACAGTTCTGGTAACTTTCCGCTTATTTTCCAGTTAAACAGAAGTTCCGCTGGACTTTTCCCGGTGGTAGGATGTTCGAGTCCTCTGTACACTGCCACATATCTTCTCAAGTCCTTCAGCCTGAGCAATCCTGATCCTCTTCATCAACGATGCATTTTTCCGTTCCACTTCTCCATTAGCTTGAGCCCATTTTGGAGTTGTTTTAATAAGCTTGATCCCATTTGTTTCACAAAAGTCTCTGAACAAGTCTCATTTGAACTGTGGACCATTATCCAACTTGCACGTTAAAGGTAGCCCATGTCTGCTGAATACAGATTCAAGACAGTCTATGACCTTGTCTGTTGTTGTGGATGTCAAAACTTCATACTCATAGTAGCGACTGTAACAATCTACTACTACCAGAAAGGAATGGTTAGATGGCCGGGGTCCCAGTATGTCTACGGCCACATCCTGCCATGGTCCATCTGGTAATGTTGTGTTCCTCAGTGGTTCCGGTGGGTCTGGTCCTGCCACCACTTGACATCCTTGACATGCTTTGCAGTATTTTTCTGCTGCTTTGTCCATGCCAGGCCACCATACTTTTGTTCTGAGATGTTGTTTTGTCCCAACCATCCCTAAATGGCCTTCATGAGCTAACGCTATAGCTTTTGCCTGAAGTTTTTCTGGTGGAACTATGCGGTTCCCTCTTAGAACCAGGTATCCTATTACACACAGCTCATTTGAAATGGGCGCATAAACCTTGCATTTTTCAAAATGTCAATTTTCGATTGCTTTTCTCTCTTCAGTTAACTCCGGATCAGTAGTTGATGCTTCCTTTACCTCCTTTGTTGTGAGTGCTTTTGGTGTCGCATTGACTGCCACGAATCTCACTTATTCATCTGATTCATGTCTACGTGTCACTTTGTGTGCCCCCTCTGTCATCAGTCTGGACAGAGAGTCTGCAATGTTTAGTTTTCCCACGATGTGCACTGCTCTGTATTCATAAGGTTGCAGCCTGAGAACCCATCTTTCGATACGCGCAAATGGTTTAGATCGCTGACTGTCTCCCTATCCCAGCCTGGGCGGGACTGCGAGCTGTGGAGGCCGCTGAATCGTTCCAGGAGTCACTGTGCTCTCTAACCCAACGACCTCCCACCCCTGTCCAAACGGAGGTGACGAGCGCTGCTCATCGCGGCTGCATTCACTGACGTGTGGAGAGTCCCAAACCCCACCTAGTGGACACTTATGTTGTGTAATGTCTGATGTCTGTTGCATTTTGAGGTGTTTCTTGCAGAGCAAAGCTGCCCTCCCTGTGGAGGGTAACTCCAAAGTGCCTTTTTTCCTCCACCTGAACCAATCCTCATATGTAAACCCCTCTGATCTCTATTAAGGTAGCGCGACTCAGGGTTGCGAATGACCACAGTCACCAGTTCTTGTCATGTGTCTTTGCCTGTACGTATGTCTGATCTCTGAATTGTGTGTACTGAAACTCTAATTTCCCTCTGGGATTAATAAAGTATCTTTGAATTGAATTGAATTTGAATATGACCTCTAGTGGTTTGTGATCTGTCACTAGATCAAACTGTCTCCCATATACATATGGATGTAGCCTCTCACATGCCCACTCTAACGCTAGGGCCTCCCTTTCTGTTTGAGAATACCTTCTCTCACAATCTGTCAGACTCTGACTTCTGACTCTGACTGGCTGCCAGTCAACTTCAGGGTTCATTTCAAGATCCTGGTTCTGGTCTAGAGGGCCTTACATGGACAAGCACCATCTTACATTGGTGATCTTCTTAGTCCCTACACCCCCAGCAGGTCCCTGAGGTCCAGTGACCAAAGCCTACTGGTTGTGCAGCACCAGGCTAAAGGTCAAAGGTGACAGATCATCTGCTGCTGTGGCCCCCAGACTCTGGACCTCTCTCCCCCTGAGCCTGAGGTCAGTGGACTCAGTGGTCTCCTTTAAAAAGCAGCTGAAGACTCACTTGTTCAAGCTGGCTTTTGTATGACCTTCTTCACCTCTCTCTCTTTATTCTGCTCTCCCCACCTATTCCACCTTCCTCAGGATCCACTGATTTCCCTCCTTCCTGTTCACTCTCCCTCTTTCTTAACATTTTTAATCACAATTGTCTATTTTTGCTCATTTTAAATATATTTTTAAACATTTTCTAAATGCTTTTTTATATTTTTACATTTTTTTTGTGACGCACCTCGTGATTTTTATCTTGAGAGGCGCACTATAGAAATGATATTTTCTTCTTCTTCTACAACCACGTCCCAGAATGCAACACATTATCACCTGTCTGTGATCCCAAGCCCAACTGGTCATGGCACAATGTGGAGCTCACACATTCACTAGAATGAAAAAGACTGATTTTGTGAGGGGGGGATCTTTGGTGCCACCCATGCAAACAAGTGTCCCCTGGGCCACCCAATTTTACATGCCCTGGACACGCCACTGTGGTCCTGGAAACCCTTTAGTTGTCCTTATTTGTTTAAAATATATTCGTGTCATTGTAAATCAGTGGTAATATTAGGTTTAATTTCAGAGAAATCATTTGTGAGCGCGCGCCCTTCCCTCTCTCTGGACCTGGAGCATCCGGGTCCTGCTGCCTCCTCCTGTGAGTAACGGCCGCAACATTCCGCTTTTGTTCTGTTTGCTTCCCACCTGCTAGCCGATTCTGATCAAACAGCGAAGCAGGTTGAATTCTTGTTATATGCAGATGTGCTTACATGTCGAACGTGTTCGGTTCCGATTAGCCACGTTTCGCTGACGTGTGTGAATATTCGCGACTGAGACTTGCTGAGAAAGGCCTGACGTGTTAGCTTGAAGAGCTAACGCGTAGATACTAAACAGTTTACTGAATGTCCGCAGATGTTGTTACTCATAATCAGTGGCACTGATTATATTTACTTTGTTCTTAATCAGCCGATGTGTGAAATATTTTATATCATTTCCTAAACTAGCCGGTTAGCATCCCACTGATGATGGGACAAGCTTAGCCAGCTAACAAACAAACAAACAAACAAACAAACAAACAAACAAACCCATAACAGCACATCATTTATCACACTTACATAATAATAAATATAATATATAATATAATAAATATAAATGGTGAATCAACAAGTCTGACTCAGATCAATGCATTCCTAATCAGAAATCACGTTTAATATCCAGATATCAAAATGTTCTTTAATAGAAAATACTAACAAATCCTTATTCAAAACACCAAATTATATTACAAAATAAAAATTGCATTTTCTTAGTTTTCATCATTTTACAAGCTGTTGTTTTAGCCTAAAGTTTATTTTAATTGTCAGTTGAATTAGTCAGATACATATTTTGTGACTTTAGAAAATAATTAGTGACTGCTGAGAGGAAAGTATTGTTCAGATTGTTCAAAGAAGAGGAAAAAGAAGTAATTTATATTTATCTAAGATTTAGTGAGAAGCAGCCTCTTAAGTCCTTGTAACTGTTAACGTCAGACCTCTGTGGACTGGACCTACTACAGCCCACTGGTTTTGGTTCCTCTCCCTGTGTCGGCTGCTCGTGGGGCATGGTCTCTGGGGCCTCATTTATGACACTTTGCTCTGAATCTTTACTAAAAGTCTTTTTAAGCTCAGCAAAACTGTTGACTTATGTAAAGTAACTTCCTGTCCAGCCTGATTATAACAGATTTGGCTCATTCCCTTAAGTAGACGTAGATAAAGTGGGATGTGAAAGTTTGGGCAGCCTTGTTAATCTTCATGAGTTTCCTGTATCGACCGTTGGTTGTTACGATAAAACATGTCTGTTAAATATGTCATATAGCAGGAACACACAGTGATATTTGAGAAGTGAAACAAAGTTTATAGGGTTGACAGAAAGCGTGCATTAATTGTGTAAACAGAATTAGGCAGGCACATAAATCTGGGCACTGCTGTCATTTAATTGATTCCAAAAGCTTTAGAGCTAATTATTGGTTTGGTAAGGTCAGTGACCCTTGACCTCCATACACAGGTGACACGTGGGGGTCTGAAAACAACTCTTAAATGACCTAAAAACTAATTGTTCACAATCATGGTTGAGGGCATGATGATAAATGATAAATGAGCCGCACTTGTACAGCACCTCTCAGAGTGAGGACTCCAGAGCGCTTTACACTACAGTGTATCATTCATCCATTCACACACACATTCACACACTGGTGGGGATGAGCTACGATGTAGCCACAGCTGCCCTGGGGCGCACTGACAGAGGCGAGGCTGCCGAGCACTGGCGCCACCGGTCCCTCCGACCACCACCAGAAGGCAAGGTTAAGTGTCTTGCCCAAGGACACAACAGCAGAATTCTCTGTCCGGAGCCGGGATCGAACCTGCAACCTTCCAATTACCGGACAACCCACTCAACCTGTTGACCTTCTGCTGCCCCAATAATAAAGACTCTGCACAACATAATATGTTGTTTATGTTGTTTATGTGCTTAGCAGACATAAACAACACATAATAATAATATAAATCATGCTCTTCCTAGAAATGTGCTGATATGACTCTCCTAAACACCCACATCCTGCTGTAGATGTGCAATATAAAGTACCTTCATAGAAATAAACCAGCTGATGTTACATTGCATGTTGTTGCAGCAGTGCAGGGGGTTATGGAGCCACGGAGATCGCAGTGGACTTAAAAAAAACAACCTAAAAAGGAATTGGTCAGATCTGAAGGTGGAGGCAACGTAGAAGATGGCAATAGTCATTAGGTGCGTGTCCTTTAATGGAACGTCAGGATAAAGGCAGTGAGGGCGCAACTGACCGGGACAACCGAAGGCCCAGTCCTCCTAGTTGTTGTGTTTCCATTTACATTTAGGCTCGGTAAGGAATTAGTTAAAACGCAGCACGACCGCTGCGTTGTGAGCTATGTCATCGATTGGTGCAAATCACGCAGACCCCCCCCCCCCCCAAGCACGGAAGCCAAACGGTCCGCCTAAAACTTCCCTCCCAGGGGAAACGCTGATATTTTCCAACTGAGTTACAATGAATGGGCAGCGTTCCCGCCCACCAACTGCACCGGGCCGCTCCAACTACCTACCCCTCTTCAGGTTCTTGGAAGGTTCCTGAAGACGGCCGTTCAGCTGGCTCGCTCAAGTGGAGACATGCACGTTTGGAGGTTCCTGTAGATCTACCCATAGTTCCAGTGATGGAAACGCACCTATTATAATGATGCCATCCAAACGGCTCCATTTTGGTGCTCGGTAGATAATCATGACATAAGAGTATAATTAAATTTAAATCGACGAAAATTTAGACAGGAAATTTTTCATCACATCAAACAAATGTACTGGCTGCCCGTAGGGCTGGGTACCGTTAAATAACTTTCAGTACTAATAATTTAACAATACCTGGTTAATTTCTGGTATTTCTCTTTTTCGCGGCACAAATCTTCTTGCATATGTTCTACTTTTTTGTTCCTGTTTGCCTTTACAAAATGCAGCAAAAGCTAGAATTGTTTGGGCCTTTGCAGCCAGTAACTGGTTCAGTTGCAGGAGGGATGTGAAAGGGGGAGGAGGAGGCCGTGTGTGAACACACTCGTCTCCTTGGCGCGTCATGTGACACGGCAGAGGTGCGGCACTGCGATGAAAATGGAGCAGCTCTATAACAGGGACACTTTATTATAAACATACTGAAATTTAGCGCTGAAAAAAATTTTTTTCAGTACCTGCCGTTCGCTTTTATCGGCACCAAAGAGGTACAGATTTTTGATTCCCAGCTCTACCTGTCGGCGAATGACTGACGCCTCCCACACCTCCTCATACATAAACACTGTAACTGACTACATTTTCCCACGACTAATGCTTTTCCTAGGGCTTACCTGTCTGATTATCCTTGTCCTCTCTCTCCACAGGTGATGAGCCTGGTGTAGCGATGCACGTTCCCTCAAACCTGCACCAGAAGTTTGGTTCCTGCATACACTGGATGTGGTGTAGCTGTTCCAGATGCAACTTACGGTAATAACAAAGACTGAGGGAAACCATTCATTTATCTATACTCCCACAAGACGCCCATGTTTGTGTTTTAAATCAGAACCCAACGATAGGGCATCGGACGAGTTTAGAACTGAAGAGATCAAGAGTTTGTGCCAGAAAGCAGAAGCATCCTGTTATCAGGCAGCACCTGAGGCAGCCTGGCCCAAAGGATGACTAGCCTGTTCCGGCGCAGCAGCAGCAACAATGAAGGGTCTCAAAGCAACGGAAGTGCAGGAGGGTCTGGAGGCACCCACGGACAGCTCAACAACAGCAGGCCCAGCCAGCAGGTCCGGCGCCTCGAGTTTAATCAGGCAATGGAAGACTTCAAGACCATGTTCCCCTCTATGGACTATGAGGTGATCGAGTGTGTGCTTCGCTCCAACAATGGAGCTGTGGACGCCACCATTGACCAGCTTCTTCAGATGAGTATTGATGGGCAAGGTTCAGATGACAGCTCGGACTCGGACGACAGCATCCCAACAGAGGTCAGTGGAAGGACCAGAGGTTACAGGGTCTGTCACTCTCCTTTGACAGTTAGTGTGCCACAGGTCTTCACCACATAGCTGCAGCCAGTTAAACGGTTCAGTCACCAGCTCTGTGGCCCCGAGGGCCTCTGAGGTTCTGTCCAAGGCCAGTCCCAGTTGCTCAGAGGGTTTCTGCCTTTTTGATGTCTCTTATTATCCAGAGTTTTAAAGCAGATAATGAACCTTTACACACCCACCAGTGTGGCAGTACACGGTTGTTCCAACGGAATTTGGACTGGGGGTGCCACTTGTGGTTTGCTCTGCAGCTAATTCCCTCTCAGCTAAAGAATTTAATCAGTTTCCCTCTGGGATTAATAAAGTATTTTTGGATTGAATTCTTTGTAATGTGAATGAAATAATGTCAGCCTGAGAAAATCCTGAAGCTTTTAAGTTTCCCGGGCCTCCCTCCTACTGGTTGAATTACAACTGTTGTAATGCTAGCAATAAATAATGAGCTAACGCTAACCAAACCACCTGATGACAAATTTACTACAAAATAAAAAGATCCACAGAACAAAAAGTCCAGTAGACACCAACAAAGCCAAGTTGTAGCCTCCTTCAGCCGCGCCCATTTCCACGTGCTGGCTTTAGCGCTTTCCTTTGTCGCTAAAGACGTTACCGTCTTGCTTCCAGACTCCACGATGGTGCCAGCTAAGAAACAGAATGATTTTTTCTTCTCTCTGTGCTGTTTAGTGACGGTCTGCGAACTGAAAAAGCTAATGACCAGCCTTTATATTAGCTACTGGCACAGTAAACACCACGAAAAATGTGGCCAATCACAAATGAGGAGCAAAATCCCTCAAAGATTTTTGTGTTTTTAAGATTTCAGAGGATCAGGCCTAAGGTTGTACTCAGTTATTTGCCAAAACACATATTCCTCTGCTAAAGAATCGCTTGGACTTTTCTGGACTGCCAGATCAGTTATTTCTCAGCATTTTCAGATCTACAGCCTGAAAGCTATGCCTACTTTGTAATCATGTTCAAAATACGGCCACATGGGATGGATGTGAACATCTGAACCACGTTATATGTTATTATGTGAACTTATTATTCAGATGGAAGCATTTTGACCCTTTATTACCCCTGAACACATGTCATACACACGGCCCAGATGACCCGGGGGTTTGGCTCCTGCTGGTTGGTTGGTTTGACTTATTATTAGGTTTTGGCTAACCTATGCAGTTGAATTGTATCAGACAAGCTAACAGACAGAGGTCCGTACCAGTCGGGTCATCATGAAGGTTAAATTCATCTTTCTAACTTAGACTTTGGTCTTAAATGGGTTAGGTGTAAGATTTGACAGTCCCAACATTAATAAACCCAGAATGACAGAAGCTTTTGCTCTTTTCAGATCTTGGAGCGAACACTAGAACCTGACAGCTCAGATGAAGAACCACCTCCCATTTACTCTCCTCCCACGTATGACGTGTACCCCCAGGTCCCACCAGCACCTCCGTCCAGGTGAGCAAGTGGTTTGAGAGACTAGCCTGATGATAGACAACAGGGCTGGGTGATATAGCAAAGATTTCATATCCCAATATACTGTAGCTCATTTTATATCCTGAAAACGACATACACAACGATGTAGCATTAGTTATTTTAATGTGATTCAAAGTTTGTATCTTGGATCGAGTGTTTGCACCGACTCCCCAAACCCGCCATCCTCCACCGTGTGGATCGGAACCATACCTTTGCAGATGTGCCTCCTTCCATCCGTGGGAGTGGTGGTGAGCCACGGGTGAACACCTGTTGCAGCGTCTGTGTCTGGAGTTAGTAATGAGCATTTACGCTGCCGCTTGTTGCTGCCTTGAAGGATTTAGCTTGTTGTATTCTTTTTGGAGGTTCTTGCACAGGAGATAAAATAATTTGTACTGTTTGGAGTCTGCTGTTGGCACTGGGAGCCGGCTAACTTTACAAACAACAGTTTCCTGGGCCACGTCGGCCTTCCTGGATCCAAACCACATCCGTGCAACAGACGTCGCCCCTCTTTTAGGTACTAGCTCCTGCGTTTTGGCTGGCAGGTTATCCAGTTGAAAATCACCCGGTCTGAACCGCTTCTGCTACCGTCTTCCTCCATGTTTGTTAATGCGGGGCTAGCGTGCATAAGCATGACGTAAAATACTTCAGTAGAACGCCTAACCATGATGTAAACCACAGAGCTCCATATACAACCATAGACCTTTTCTATTGTACATATCGCCCAGCCCTGATGGACGGATTCGTTCTGTTCTTGTGTTTCTGATGCTCACTCTAAAGTCTTCAGATCACTGATAGTTTATGATGACTGTGGAGGTGCTGCTGCAGACGCACTTGTTTCTTTTCCTAGAGTGGAACCCCATGTGGCCGGTCACAATGATGGTAGAAGCTTCAGAAACTGGAACCCTCCTCTTCTCGGGAACCTTCCAGATGATTTTCTGAGGATTCTGCCGCAGCAGTTAGACAGAATCAAGGTAAAGGCGGGATTCTTATTCAAATGTTAAATGGTTAAAGGGATTCTATGCAAATTTAAATCATTTCTTGAGCCAGCATGTGTCTAAAGGACCCTTTACAAGGATGGCACTCAGACCCCCACTGCCATCAGAGGCCAGAATATTGCACAAGCAACTTCAGTGTGGTGGGCTACCACCTGTTGGACTTGAGCTGACATACCTGGCATTGCAGTCTGCTTCCAGCATTTTTAGATCATCAACACAGCTGATTTGTTTAATGTAGTGACGAATCGCTCCTGTAGACACTAATGAAGGCTGGGAGACACTTCAGCTGTTAGATTAGGTGTTAAACAAACGCACAGAGAGGACATAGGTTTCTTTTTCAGTTTGACCACAGAGAATTAATAATGGACACTAGGGGGTGCTAAAAGCAAGCTAAAAGGCTAAAGCCGGGCATACACTGTGCGACTTTTTCACTCGCAGCGTTCAGCTTCAGCTCAAACTGTACGACTTCCTCGCAGAGCAGATCTCACGAGTCATGAGCTCACACTGCACGACCCAGTTCTCGGATGCGACCTGACTGCTCACACTGTACGTCTGGTAGCAACACGTCGGCCCTAAAAATGTGCTAAAAATAGCAGTTTTTACACAACACGTCAGACTTTTTTGTCTTGCCTGTTGTCCTTCGGGAGTGCTGCAGGACACACAGGGATTTATGGGGGTTGGATGAGGAAAACCAAATAAAGAAAGTAAATCTGTGTTTAGTGATCAGTTTAGTTTGACATGAACACGACAAACACGCTTTCTTGATAATCTTTGTGAGTAAAAAACGTGTAGAAATAAAAACGAACAGCGTGTGTTATTAGGGAAATAGCGAGCGAGCGGTGCTGATGCAGGATTGCGTATGCGCCGTGAGCGGTTCTGATACTTTTTGGGTCGCAGCTGCTTGCAGCGCCGCTTCAACAGTGCGATACCCTCACGAGGGACGAGCAAAATATTAAACACACCAGAAGTCCGTGCGAGCTCACGACTGCTGATCGGCAGCTGGTCACGTGGTGTTAATCGCCTCTCGTAACCCCCTGTACACTACACGACCGCTCGGCGCTAAACTCGCCCCGATGTCGTGGATTCTCGCACGACTGGAAAATCGGCTCAAAAAAGTGAAAAAGTCACACAGTGTCCGCCCGGCTTTAGCGTCCCTTTAAGGCTGGGGTCACCAACATGAAACATTTATGAAGGAGTTTTTGGTGCAGAGAAACGACTAACTGTAGCTCTAAATCAGAAACACATGCTGTATATACTTACCTGCAAACACACCAGTTACACCAATCAGGAGTTTATTTAGCACATGCTACATTAGCATGCTAGAGGAACATGATTAATACACTTGTCTGTCTCAGCAGAGTGGTCTGGCTCACCCTTCATCCTCCTCGTCAGAATCCGTAGTGAGTCAGTGGACAGGCCGACCCAGTGGAGGTGCAGGAACCACCGAAGGCTCCATACCAGAAGCTGTAGAACGAGACCATAAGCTGAAGCAGTACCTGGAAGACGAGCGCATCGCCCTGTTCCTGCAGAATGAGGAGTTCATGAAAGAGCTGCAGCGAAACCACGACTTCCTTGTTGCTTTAGAGAGAGGTGCGACTCTACAGAGAAAGTCTGATTTTACAAACGTGTTTCCAGTTGATCTCAGTCCCTTTTTACCTCATGGTTCCACCTGCCTGGAGGACACGGTGACTTAAAGCTGCAGTCTGGAGTTTCCCCTTTCAGGAATTATCTCTGATGGTTTAGAAATCCCTAAAATTGAGTCTTACCCAGTACTGTGATATAATGTAGGCAAAAAGTCATCTGTTTTTTGCTAAGCCCGCCCCCATCCCATAGAGCCCCACGCAATTTGAATTGAGTGCTGCTCAGCATTAGCCCATAGCATTAGACACCTGCCTTGTGTGATGATGTGAGGGAGCAGGAGGAGAGAAAGGTGTGGGGATGGGGAGGAATGGCTGGTTGGGCTTAGCCCTCCGGGGAGCCAGCTCCCCTACTGGCCCCAATAGACACCTCTGTTGTCAAACTGCCACCCAGGGCATGGAGACCCCAGCCCATCCTGCCAGGGCCCAAAGCAGCAGCATTACAGAGCCTCACGGAGTCCGAGGGCACCAACCCAGCCCCACCCCAGCAGAATATCTATGCCCATCCCTGCATTTGTACAACTTCCAGAATATATAAGACATGGGACATCCAGGTAAGGTTGGGTCCTCCCCCTCCTGGACCTCCCCCTCCCCTGTGATGGAACAGCAGAGGAGCCAAAGTCTACCTGAAGCCTCTGAATCCGAGTCAGGCACTGCTGCATGTTCCTGCCTTCTTCCTGGCAGCACACATGTCAGGACCCGACCCCCAAAGCCCCGCCCAGACCCCCACACGGGGCTGGCCACCCCCACACCCTGAGCCCCCAGGCCTCCACCCAGACCCGCCCATGGGCAATGCAGCCGCCAGGCAGTGACCCATGGCCACCGCCAAGACCTCCAAGGGGCCCCATTCACAACCGCTAGTCGTCCACCCCCTGAGGCAACCCAAGCACCTCCAGAGGGGGGCAACGGCCCCCCAGTCCCAAACACCCCCAGTGTACCCACCTCCAGGGAACATCCGGATACTCCAAACTCAGACCCTCCACCCCCTCACCCACATCATCCTGCAGGACAACATCAACGGCCCCCCACCCTCGCTATGTGATGGAACTGATCAAAGGAGCCCAGAGAGATTGATCTGAAGTGGAAGCAGAGGCTAGATCAAGTGTAATATGATATAAAAGATTTCTATACTGGTTAATGCAGAGACTTTCTATATTTTCTATGTCTTTTTTTATGTGGACCTTAAGTCCGATAATAAAATTCAATTGAAAATTGAATATATATATATATATTATACATACATACATACATACATACAATGCATTGTTCCACCTCTAGGTGGTGTCCTCTGAGGAATAAAACCCTCCAGGTTTCAGCTTTAACCCTACCTGTTCACAGCGGTTCAGCTGCAGAATCCTTCTAGATGTCTTAACTCATGGCTGTGTTAAAAACAGCTGAGAGTACCAGAAGTACCATCACCAGCTCCTAAAGACCTTTATAGATAAGAAACATACAGAAACGGGCAAAAATGAACTAATGTTGTCTAGAAAATCTCATTTTGTCTTTAGATCGCTTGAAGTATGAATCGAAGAAGTCAAAGACCTCTCATTCATCTGGTGTGGAGACTTCAACAGGTAGAGAGGTTTCTTCAGACGTGCTCTAAGCTGACACCAGCGTGGTCAGTTAACTTGAAATAAGACAAACGTGCTAGACACTGCTGTGTATGCATGCAGGTGAGGAACATCCTGCAGCTTCAACAGAGGCAGCCTCAGACGACGCTCTGTTCAGAGACAAACTCAGACACATGGGCAAATGTAAGACTGCTTCCTGTTGCATGACGTCATCTCAGCCTTCAGTGCTGCTTGGGTTTGATCTAGTGTCTTCTCCCTCCCCCAGCAACTAGGAAGAAGCTGTTTGAAATTGCTAGAACATTTTCTGAGAAGACAAAAAGAAGAAAGTCCAAAAGAACCCTGATGAAGCTGCATTCGTATCCTTTCTATAATCCTATCTATGTGGCTGTGAGTCAGATATGTGGAGCTGGGATTTGGTTCTCTTTCCTAACGCTGCTGGTTGTCAGATTTGGCACAACCAACTCCACAGCCAGTCTCCTTGAGGAGGATGAGATCAACCCCAGTGGTAAATATGGCAGTCTCTCCACACACACACACACACACACGCACGCACGCACGCACGCACACATTTTAATTTCTGTGAGTGTATGGTGCCGAACCCGTACCCTATTTAAGACCAGTGCTGATCTATTCCTGACCTTCACTAAAACTTCATTCACACCAAACCTCTAAAACCAACTGTTACACTTTCTTTCAAAGTCAGGACCACAAAAATGTCCTCCCTCTGCTGGTGAGAGCCTCTTGATGGTCTTCAGTGAGTACACAGAGACATCACGCCCTCGTGTGGCCTGGCTGAAGACACGCCTGTAAAGGCATACGAGCCCCGCCCACCTGCAAGCCGCCGGCATCACCGGCAGTTCTCAGTTCGACTGCTGCTCTTCACCGAGCTAGGCAGCGAAGGGGGCAGGCCTGCGTTCCTCGTCCCTCTCCTTCAGGGAGCAGTGGTTCTATGCTGAACCGATGTAGAGATGACCAGAAGAAACGGTGAAAAGAAGCAAAAGACTAAGTAAAATTTCTTTGTGAAGATGTGAAAAATAGATGTGCTTACCTCTTGGTACTCATTTCTCTCACAGAGGAGCGGTTCTGGTCACTCAGCTCCAAGAACATGAACTACACCTGGTTAGCATCAACTGTGTACCTGCTGTCCTCTTGTCCTCCTCCAACCTTAAGCAGTGGTTCCTGAACCTTTTCTTCAACAATTCAGTGATTTCAAGTCCTTAAATAAATCCACATTTCCATCTGTGATTTGCTGCTGTCACACTCCCGGGTTTCTGATCAACCTTGTGATTGTCTGCCAGATGTGGGCGGTGTGTCTTTAAGCCCCGCATCTGTACATTCAGTTCATTAAGTTTCAGAAACATGTCACTGAGTTGTGTCATTTTCCTGAGGAACTGGCTACAGGAAAACGTCTGCACCGCGCTCTTCCTCCCGTAAGATGCTGATCTCAGCAGTTCAGAAACCCAGGACAGCAACTTCACACGTGACAAACATCAGGACTCGCTGTGAAACAGCAACGGTGTGGCTGGAGCCCATTCCCCACACAGTATGGAACAGAGGTTGTGTTTAGACGTAGTTGACTGTGGCAGTGATCATCATTCAGCTTGGGACTCGAGCCTAGTTTATACCTCTGGACCTGGAAGTCCCGCAGGAGCTCGGCTCTCCTTAGGGAGTGTTACCCACGTTGACATCGGGGCTTCCAGTCCATACTCTACACAGATGTTACACCATGCCAGCCACCTGGTTGTGGTGGTGCATGTCTGCTTTCCCTGCTAGCACCTGGCACCCTGCAGGTATGTGGAGGCTTGTCTCAGGGGCCTCTTTGCCCAGCCTACAGCTTGGGTCTGCTCTGGTGTGGTAGGTCTTGGCCTCTGTTGCCCTGGTGTTCAGGGCCTGGTCCTGTGCAGCCATGATGAGTCTCTGTGCTGTCCTTCAGACCAGCTCCTTCTAGCCACTGGTAGGATTTATATATATCGTTGTCTGAGACATTCACTCAGCACGCCATCTGATGGGGCCTTATACTTGATGTACTTATGGATCTTAGATGTTTAATCCTGGACAGTGGCTCCCACACTCACTAGTCATCGGCCTCCTTCCTTACAACCAGTGTGCAATCCCAGGATGCTGGACTTGGGATGAAACCCTCCATGCATGATTAGGAGCGTCCATGTCTTAACATCCATGGTCTGGATTTCTTCATCTGTGCCCCAGACAAGCTGGTTCCCAGAGTCAGAGACTCTCTTGGTCAGCTTGCTTCCCACACCAAACCTTCTGTCAGGAATCTTGGCGTGACCTTTGACCCAGCTCTCACCCTGGATTCTCATGTCAGTTCTCTTGTTGGCTCTTCCTTCTTCCATCTCAGGAACGTTGCTAAGCTGAGTCCCATTCTGTCCCGCTCTGAACTTGAGACAGTTCTCCACACCTTCATCTCCTCACGCTTAGACTACTGTAACTCTCTTTTCACGTGTCTGAGCAGAACCTCCCTGAACCGTCTACAGGTGGTTCAGAACGCCTGTGCTCGGCTTCTGACCAAGTCCTCCAAACACACCCACATCACCCCGCTTCTCCTCCAGCTTCACTGGCTGCCAGTCACCTTCAGGGTTCATTTCAAGATCCTGGTTCTGGTCTATAGGGCCTTACATGGACAAGCACCATCTTACATTGGTGATCTTCTTACAACAGTTTCACACTGAGAGCATCAGCGGAACGTCACTGCTTCAAATAGAATCCATCTTAGTCGATGGACCGTTTCAAACCAGCAGCGCTGCGGGAACTTCCAGGCTCGTCCCAGAAGCTGCACGCCGCGCTCCTGAAGATGGGATCGGATTCTAGTTTTGCCGCGAGTCGCTTCTGGGACACGTCAATTTCTGCAGTTAACGTAGGGCTAGACAGGAAATCACACACTGTTTCAGTGTAAAATCCCTGGTAATTTTCAAAATAAAAGTACTGCAGTGATACAGTTTCATTTATATGAAGCTTACGAGTGACCGCCGATGCTTCCAGTGTGAAAGCGTCTGCAGGTGAACATAAACGTTTGTTACACTTTTGTGTGTTTAGAGGAGGATGGCCCGCCCAGAAGAGTAAACGCAGAGGAACGGTCTGAACTACGCAACGAGCCAATATGATGGTAGGACTGACTTTAGCAAACTCAAACAATACATTTAAAGAAGTAATATGTAAGAATTGTAAATCGAAATCATCACCAAACAGTTTAATGTCTCAGTCATGTTGGAATGAAGGTTACAGTGAAAGAGTGTCAGCCAGCTGGGGGGTTGCAAGTTTTCTACTTTCAAAAAACTAAAGAGGGATGTAGTCTTTGTTTACAATCTTTGAGCAGAGTCTGCATCATGCTACGCCGGCATTTGTAATTCAACACCAGCTAGCAAAACGCTCCAGACTTGTCTAAAGAACCTAAGCCAGTAAACAGGAGCAACCCAGAAGCTGTTTCTTGTACCGCTTGACCGGGTGGGCGGAGACCCTCAGTGTTCTCACGGTCTCAGTCGCTGCCTGCTGTAGACACAACAGAGCAGTGATGGAATAACGGCGTTTAAAATAACCGCGTTACTAAAAAAATATTGTTTTCAGTAACAAGCAAACTAATTAATTACGTCTTCTTTTATCAGTAACAGAAACGACGTTTTGATAAGAAAATGCGTGCGTTAAGCAGCGCGGTGCTGATCAGGAGCTAGAGAGGCAGATGTTGTCATCCAAGCGCATCACGGCCGTGAAGAACGAGGAAGACGTGATGAATATCTTCGGCTGCAGGTGTGGATCTGCAGCCGTGCCCTTCTTAGCGGGACGTCCCGAAGGTCCGCTCACCTGTTCCCCGCTCAGACGTCCTGATCTCCTACCTTCCTAGATCATCCAGCTGTAACCTGTTCCTGATCATGTCTTTAGTCCCGCTGTAACACTGATGCATCAGTCTCAGACGTCATGGAGCTCAGGTGTTATCAGAACTACCTGTGTGTGTTCACCACCCAGCTTCAGCTCTTCTGTGGTTGGGTCTGACCCACGTTGTGCCTCTTCTAGTGTCATTTTAAAGGGTTTTACTTATTTATTTATTTAACCGTTGCTAGATTAGCAGCAACAGAAATGCTGCTATAAACACACAATTATGTGAAGCTGGAAAAATTAAAATACTGTGCAAAATTACATTTATTTCTGTACTTTAACTAGACTGAGAGACCATTTAAAGGCTTTACAGGTGTTTATTATTTGCAATTATAAATGTTTGCTGATTGGGGTCTTGTTAAATAGTCTAGATTAGTGTAATGTTCCTGTTAGTAGTTCCTCCTGTTAAGTGCTTCTTTATTCAGGTTTATAAAAAACATTTGGACATACATTTTATTATGTTCCAGTCATTTATATTTCACTATTGTTGTCATTTATAGTAAATTAAGTAAGTTTAATTAAGAGGGGAACCCATTTTTCTTGCTTTCTTTAATGAAAAAAGTAACTAAGTAGTTATTTTTCTTGGTAATTAGTTACTTTTATAATCTCGTAACTCGGTAAGTAACTTGAGTTACTTTTTTGACAAAGTAATTAGTAACTATAACTAATTACTTTTTAAAAGTAACGTTCCTAACACTGTCGGAGACATACTAAACCTTTGTTTAGAAAAGTGGACCGCAGTAGTCACATTTCACCACAGCGTGTCATTCTTACATATGGCACCTTTAAACTAGACATGGTAATATGTAAAATGGGTTGTTCTGAGCTGAACACATTTCAAACTGAATGAACAGACTGTCTTGTACAAAACACAACATTTGTTATATTTATTTGTTTTCATTCAGAATTTTTCCTCCATTTCAGGTTCTCCCATGATGCACCATTTCTCGTTACCGTGGAAATGGCAGCAATCTGACACATTGGTGGCACTTCCTGTCCTAACGTGAAGCCTAAACGAGGACTCAGTAACTTTACATTTATAGATCATCGTAAAGGACTTTCTCGGCATTATTACTTGATTATCCAGTATTAAATGTAAAAAGTTTGCATTGAACTGTTTTCTTTAATTAGCCGAGAGGAACACCAGCGTCTTTACGTGAGATTTTAAAAATTATTTAAGCCATGCTAAAGCTAATAGATGCACTGAGCACCATTTTTGGTGAACAACCCGTAAACAAGGACAGGACGCGGAGGATAACGGGGTGACTTAGCGATGGCTAAAGCTTCATACAGAAAACTCAAAGGTGGTCCTGAAAACAAAAGCTGTGTTCCTCTTGTTTCACAGCATTTTTTATCTACTCTAACTTTTTATTTCATGAATTAAAACAAACACTTAACTGTGCTGAGATGCATCAGCCCAGATGTGCTGCAGCTGGTTAGCTCCTCTGCTAGGTTTCACAATCAGCCACAGACTCTAATGTGAATAACTGATGTTGAAGTTTATAAAATGCCATTTGCATGAATCACCATGACATCTTGGAGATTACAGACTGTGGTAATCCACCCTGTAACTGGACCCGCTGTTGACTAGCTGTTTGCACATCAGTCCTCTGAGAACAAATCTCTATTTCTCCTAACTGAGAGGATTTGTGTTATCGTGCCACCAGCTGTTCCAAACCCAGAGGGAAGGTGGCATCACCTACAAAATCAGACAGCAACAGTGGTGCCAGAAAGAGAGCAACCAGGACATGGCTAACGTAGTCTATATCACCCCCTAGTGGCTGGCTGCGTTATGTAGAGTAACATGCCGGGGCTGCATTCCCCAGGATGTTGCCCTAATACGCAGCTGTAGGAGCGGCCTGCAGCTCGCTGACCTTCACCGTCCCATCCTGTGCTTAGACAAACCAGATAACAGAGGGTGTTGGAGGTTTGTATACGTTCTAAATGTGGAGAACGTGAACGGCATCGTTTCTGTGTAGCCAGGCTACAAGCAGCTAGTGACCTTTTCCTCGACCACAGCGAGTGTTTGTTGGTACTTCCTGTCAGACACACATCTAATGGTCTAACTGCACAGCAGGAAACCTCATGCAGACCAGGCGTCAGCCCGGTGCCAGAGTTCTGATTGGTTAGCAGCGCCATTGTCTTCCACTGCCACGAGTGTTCTGTGCTGCTCGGGATTGAAGGAATACCGTTTGTGTGACTGTCCATTCATTTAAGTGTGGATGATTTCTAGCAGGTTTTTTAATTGGTTCATGTTTCTGACCCCCCCCCCCCCCCGTGATTTTAATCACAACTTTCTAATTCGTTGTAAAATGTGCAGCGACGTGTGTGTGCTGCAGGTTTGATCAGAGGTAGGGTCAGACGTGTGTGTGCTGCAGGTTTGATCAGAGGTAGGGTCAGACGTGTGTAGAAGTCTTCTGTTCTGCAGGACCTGGTCACACACCACCTCACCACTCAGGTTGTTATCACGTTTGTCCTCTTACCTTCTGGAACGTTTGCTCTGTAAAACCATAGATATTCAATTAAATCTTTTCCATCTATGGGAGGGAAAGAATATCTCCAGCAAGTGGGCGGGGCGGCTATGAGCAAACGGGTGGCGCATTCGACTGCTGACCCATAGGTCGTGGTTCAAATCCACCCTAGTAGGGGCCAAGACATCCTCGGACAAGATGTCGATCCCCACAGTTGGATCACTTGGGAAACCTTTCTTCCCACACAAGATAATAAAAGAATATATAAATAACGGTTTATTGTTCTGTCTTTAGGATTTCAGCTGTTTCAGTCTGAACTTTGACCTCCAGCGGTTCTGGTTCTTTCTGAACAATAATGGGTTCATTCTCAGGAAAACTTCCTAGAGTCCGTTCTTCCATTAAAGTGGTTTTCACATCCTGTAAACAAACTCCGTGCAGTTCCTCATGCTGGAAGCACAGCGGGGTTTAGTACACGTGAACAACTGGTCCTGTAGTTTCTGCAGCAGCTCATCCTGGAGGAGTCTCCCAAACCAAGCTGAACTCATTCTGAGTCAGAACCAAGTGGATCGTGGTCATGTTGGATTATTTGGATGTGAAATGTCAACTTTACTATGTTTAGTTAGCTTTAAAGAATAAAAATGTCCATTTCAACAGAAAAGCAGTTTAGTTTACTCATTTTAATATCAGTAACTGTATCAGGTAATTAAGGTGCTTAGTGAGGCAGATGAAATAAATGGCCTTTAAGGGAGAGGGAGACCTGGCTGCTTTTATTTTGAACCTGAATCTAGACGTGTCAGTAAAAGGAAATGATTACTGCTAGATTTGTGTTTATTAGAAACATCTGGCTAAGCAGAGACCATGGTCTGATTTGTTGTGTAACTTGTTTTTTAATGTATACAAAGTTTGTAAATGAATAAAATGATCAAACTGGAAGTTTGTGTGTCTGCGTGCTGCTCAGGTACAGGAAGCAGATAATTCTACCATTACAAGTTCACGCAGGTTCCACCAGATTTACAAGTCATGGATTCATTTCTGGGTCTCACGGGAACTTCTCATACAACTGCAGCGTAGTTCAAACCCCTCGTAAAAGTACACCCAGCTGTATTTAAAGTCATTCTGAACAAGTTAAAGCACAAAATAAAGTTTTTAACTGAGTAACGACGGTTTCACTTTATTTTTTCAGAAAACGTTTTAACATGAAAGCAGAAGCAGAGCCTGGGAGCTCCTTGCTTTAAAGTTGTTGTGTTTAGAAGGGAAACAGGAACATGAAGGACTGGTTCAGTGCTGCTCCGCCATCATCTCGTCAGTTTCAGCTCAAAAAACCGGCTCTATGGACTCCACCTGTGGACACGATGAAATGATGAAAGAAATATTAAATAGTTTGCTTTTCTTTCTTGGGTAAAAAAATGCAATAATGTTTGTCTCCACAAATAAGCCTGAGGGTCTTTGTTGTTTGTGCTTATGGGCCAAATATCAGTTCAGAGTACCCACCCTTTTTGGAGTCCCTGGGACGAGTGCTAGATAGTGCTCCATCAGGGGACTCCATTGTCCTGCTGGGGGACTTCAATGCTCACGTGGGCAATGACAGTTTGACCTGGAGGGGTGTGATTGGGAGGAACGGCCCACCTAATCTGAACTCGAGTGGTGTTTTGTTATTGGACTTCTGTGCAAGCCACAGTTTGGCCATAACGAACACCATGTTCGAACATAAGGATGCCCATCGGTACACTTGGTACCAGGGCAGCCTAGGTCATAGGTCGATGATAGATTTTGTAGTCGTATCATCTGACCTGCGGCCGTATGTTTTGGACACCCGAGTGAAGAGAGGAGCGGAGCTGTCAACTGATCACCACCTGGTGGTGAGTTGGATCAGATGGCAGGGGAAGATGCTGCGTAGACCTGGCAGACCCAAACGCATAGTGAGGGTCTGCTGGGAACGCCTGGCAGAAGAAACCGTCAAGACGGTCTTCAACTCCCACCTCCGGCAGAGCTTTGACCACGTCTCGAGAGCAGTGGGGGACATTGACTCCGAGTGGGCCTTGTTCCACTCTGCGATTGTCGAGGCAGCTGTTGCTAGCTGTGGTCGCAAGGTGGCCGGAGCCAGTCGTGGTGTTAACCCCCGTACCCGCTGGTGGACACCAGAGGTTTGGGGAGCCGTCAGGCAGAAGGAGGCCTACAGGGCGTGGCTGGTCTGTGGGTCTCCGGAGGCAGCAGACAGGTACCGGATAGCCAAGCGGGGTGCAGCAGTTGCAGTTGCCGAGGCAAAATCTCGGGCGTGGGAGGAGTTTGGTGAGGCCATGGAGAAAGACTATCGATCGGCTCCAAAGAGGTTCTGGCAAACTGTCTGGCGCCTCAGGAGAGGAAGGCAGCAACTCGCTCACACTGTTCACAGTGGGGATGGGGAGCTGCTGACGTCAACTGAGGCTATAGTCGGACGGTGGAAGGAATACTTTGAGGAGCTCCTCAATCCCACCAATGCGCATTCCGAGGAGGAACCAGAGCTGGGAGGCCTGGGGATGGACTGTCCGATCTCGGGGGCAGAAGTTGCTGAGGTAGTCAAACAACTACACAGCGGCGGAGCCCCGGGGGCGGATGAGGTTCGTCCTGGGTATCTCAAGGCTATGGATGTTGTAGGGCTGTCATGGTTGACACGTCTCTACAACATTGCGTGGTCATCGGGGGCAGTTCCTGTGGAGTGGCAGACTGGGGTGGTGGTCCCCATCTTTAAGAAGGGTGACCTGAGAGTGTGTTCCAACTATAGGGGGATCACACTCCTCAGCCTCCCTGGAAAGGTCTAGTCCAAGGTACTGGAGAGGAGGGTCTGATCGATAGTTGAATCTCAGATAGAGGAGGAGCAATGTGGTTTTCGTCCTGGCCGTGGAACTGTGGACCAGCTCTATACCCTTGCAAGGGTGATGGAGGGGGCATGGGAGTTTGCCCAACCAATCCACATGTGCTTTGTGGATTTGAAGAAGGCTTATGACCGTGTCCCCAGGGGTACCCTGTGGGGGACGCTCCGGGAGTATGGGGTGGGTGGCTTACTGTTAAGGGCCATTCAGTCCCTTTACCAGAGGAGCGTGAGTTTGGTCCGCATAGCTGGTCCGGTAGTAAGTCGGATCTGTTCCCGCTGAGGGTTGGACTCCGCCAGGGCTGCCCTTTGTCACCGGTTCTGTTCATAACCTTTATGGACAGAATTTCTAGGCGCAGCCGTGGTGTGGAGTGTGTCGAGTTTGGTGGCAGGAGAATCTCGTCTCTGCTTTTTGTGGATGATGTGGTCCTCCTAGCTTCATCCAGCTCTGACCTTCAGCTCTTGCTGGGTAGGTCAGCGGCCGAGTGTGAAGCGGCTGGGATGAGGATCAGCGGGAGGGACTCGGAGTAGAACCGCTGCTCCTCCGGATCGAAAGGAGCCAGTTGAGGTGGTTTGGGCATCTGGTCAGGATGCCTCCTGGACGCCTCCCTGGGGAGGTGTTTCGGGCATGTCCTGCCGGCAGGAGGCCCCCGGGTCGACCCAGGACACGTTGGAGAGGTTACATCTCCAATCTGGTCCGGGAATGCCTTGGGGTCCTGCCGGAGGAGCTGGTGGAGAAGGCCGGGGAGAGGATGGTCTGGAGCTCCCTAGTTGGGATGCTGCCCCCGCGACCCGGACCCGGATAAGTGGAGGAAGACAACGACGACGAAATTTGCCTGAATGGGGTCTGTTATGGAGTTGCTAATGTTAACGTTAGCGTCGACTAGCCAAGATGTGCTCGTCTCTCCTGGTCACCAACTCAAAACTGCCTTGCGTTGCATGTCAAGGTGGGCAGATCCATGAATACTAACTTTGTCTAACGTAGAAGGGACTGGCTTCGTTCTGTTTCGATGACTAATGCAGTCGATGGGGGCGAAGGCCATTTTCAAAGGTGACTTTCAAAATAAAAGTCATGTGCAGGTAAGCGTGTCTTCCTGTTAAATCCTCTGTGAAACTCAAGAGTGGCTGATGGTGTTTCATGTATTACACGGCTGCTCAGTGAAGAGCTCATTGAGGGTCAGAGGTCGTGAGCCTCAGAGGAAGCTTGTTCCTCAGCCTTGACGCTGCTCAGCCAGGAGCATGAAGGGAATAGTTTTGACCAAGCTCTGAAATGGTTTTCAAACTTTGCTAAGGTCATGATTGTCAACCACCCACTGTGCTGTAGACCTTTTCACTCTGCCCCGTTGTTTCTGACCAGTCCAAATCTGCCCTTCATGTGTTAAAATACTTTACAGCCAACAAACTTTCCTTCACCCCTTCTTTCCACTGGAGGCGAAAGTGCAGCGAAACGTACCACGCAGCGATTAGCCGCTGTTATAGTGGACGCGTTCCATTCCACTGGCAGCAAAGTGCAACGTTTTGGATGCGTCCCAGAAGCGAGGGGAGGCGGTCATTACGTTACAAGTCTATCTTTACACGCTACGCTTCCAAAACATGTCAAACTCTGCAGTTTAGATCGGACCAGACAGGAAGTCAAACAAAATCAGTGTAAAACATCTGGAAACTTTCAAAATAAAAGTCATGTGCAGGTAAGCGTGTCTTCCTGTTAAAACCTCTGTAGCCAAAGTGAACTGAACAGAAAATAAACCAGACCTTCTTGGAGACATGCAGCCGTCTTTCTCCTTGCTGAAATCTCGCGTGGTGTTGCAGTTCTCCCATGATTTTGTGAACGTGGAACGCTATCACATCTGAAACGCTCCCGGTTGGGAATGAGCTTGCGGGTAAAACGCCACTACTACGTTACGCACCTCTTTTGCGGCCGGTGGAAAGGAGGAGTCAGCGTTCAGAAGCTCAGCTTAACAAAGACGATGGTTTTTGTTGAGGGACAAAAATGCTTTGCCTAATGGAGTCCTGTACTAAAGGCTTCAGCGACGGCCTTATGGTGGCAACACCTCCACCGGTGTGTGCCAGCTGTTGTGGTGCAGCAGCTGGGGACACCTGCTGGTGGTGGTTTGGTACCTGTGATCCGCATGCCCCAGGGCAGCTGGGGCTACAGTTCATCTCATCACCATTTGGGGATGAATGTGTGCGTGAATGGATTAATGACACTTTAGCGTAAAGCGCTTAGGAGTCCTCTGACTCAGAGAAGCGCTTTACAAGTACGGGTCGTTTGTCATTTACCGTGTGTACCCTGGAAATTCTGCTTTTCCTCATGTGTGCAGGTTAGCTGGTCAGCTAGTGTTGCGGGATTAAAATATGCTAACCTGATGCACTGACGAGGGTGGGTTCCAGCTCATGTGCGTGTGTGTGTGTGTGTACATGTGCTTTAATGAGACTTACCGGATGACGAGCTCTCTGTTTAAGGGTGATGCCTTCTGACAGTAACGCCTTTGCGGTCATCTCATACAACGCTGAATCTTCCAGCTCACTGTGGCTCTTTAACTCTGAGTACTTGAGGACAAACCTGGAGAATTACAAAAATAAAAACGGTCATCTACTGTCATTAAACTAACCCACTACATCTAGTTATTTCAGATTAAGAGACAAAGAAACACATCAAGACGTTTTATCTTCATCAACACACAAAAATAAAATAAATTCAGTCAAACATACCTCTGGCATACAGACACAAAGTTTGAATTGGAAAGATCAAAGGACCGGGAACCTGTCCCATAATGCTCATAGAACCACCTGGAAGACAGGATATGAGGTATAAAGGAGAGAATAAACGTTTTAACACAAGTACAACGTAAAGAGGACATATTAGCATTTCTACAGTCGATTCAAAACAAGTTCATGAAGTTCTTTGTCCTCATATAAAGCCATGTCAGCGGTTTTATTCTCGACAGTTTCAGTACCTTCCAGAATGAGCCACCTTCCAGTAGCCACGCCTCCATCCCCAATCAGGCTGCTATGAGGGGAGGAGTTCTGATATCTGGAGGAACTGCTGCGGCTCCAGTGTTGACAGGTCAGGGGGATTCAATTCTAATTCCCATATTGTGATGTCACAATAGGCAGTAGAGACCCGCATGGCAGCACAAAAAGATGCGAAAAGTGCTTTTTGTTTACTTTGTCCTCCATAAATGACTAAATGTAAATGAGAACTGGAGATGAGGAGAGATCAAGACTTGGTCAGTAGACATGAGGAGTTCATAACAATCACATTTAACCGCATCCTCAGGTGTTTTTTTTTAGATCCAAGGAAACAACCCATCACAAAAAGTGCTGACACGATAAAACATGACACTGTGTTGGGAGAGTAGGACTCAGTGTTACATCTCTAAGAAATAAAACAGATCTATAAAAGAGTTCAGGTGTGCTCAAATGCAAGGCAGCTGCAGGTGTTTAGTTGTCCGTGTGACCAGCTCACTTACGCTCTAACTTTGTCCTCCGCGTAAAAGATGGCAGGAACGTTGCTCTGCTTGTTGACGAATGTTCTGGTTTTTGTCTTCACATACAACGGTTCCTTCTTGGGGGGGAAAGCCTCGTACACGTCAAACCAGATGGGTTTGTCTGCTGGCTTCATCACCCCCGAACACATCAGGTCTCGGACCCTGGTGATTATGCAAGAGCACTGTGATCAGAACGCGTTAGAAACAGATGCCATATTTATTTGTAGTAAACGGTTTTATGGAAAACGCAACAGTGCTTGGGAAAGATTTCATCATTTTTTGTTTTCAGCTACATTTGAAAGTCGTTTCTGCGTGCAGGCTTTGGGACGAGCAGGTGAGGAGAGGTGAGTTGCAGACATGATGCAGGAATATAAAAGACGATGATGATGATGATTAGGGCTGATTGATGATGAAGACCATGTGTTGTTGTTTATTCTTGAATTACTGAAATTAATTAACTTGCACAATGTTGTAATAACACTTTCCCTTTTAATGTTTATAACACTTTTCACAGAAAAAACACAAAGTGCTTTACAAAAAAAAACATTGAAACGTGAAAAAAACAAAATGATAAAAACAAATTTGTAAAGAGACTTAAAATCATTAAGCACCTTTATAAATACGTCCAGGCTGTCACGATGACCCGTGACTGTTTTAATAAATTATACATGTTTCATTAATAAAGAAATAAACACACCTGTCCTGGTTGGCGCATGCGCAAGAGAAAAGTGTGGAAAACGCATTCAGCGTGTAGTTTTCGAGTTTCTCGTTGTTCCGCGTGCCTGCTTGTTGAAGCCTTGAGGGACACCGTGACACTTACCTGCTGAACACGGTCCCAACCCTCTCCAGTCTGCTGCCCGCCATGATGGCTGTTAGCTTCCTCCTTCACGAGGTCAGGCGGTTTCTCGTGCGGGGTAAACGCGCACAAACACTGAGCTCTAAGGCTGGAGCTGTTAAAAAGTCCCTATTTTATTAATGTAGTCATTTCCTTCTTCATCTCAGTTCTGAAGCCCCGTTTTGTCGCTACGCACGTGCAGGCCGTACCCACAAGAGCCTTCTTCTTCTTCTTCGACTCAATTGCAGTTGACGAACCAACTGGGAGATTTATTACCGCCACCTAGCGTAATAACCTAGCGTAATAACACATTCGGATGTGAACAGAAGGGAAACCAGACATCTTAGGGAATAATTCATGCTCTCTTGGACCATTTTCACCATTACACCAGGGCTGATTTCCATCAAATGAAAGATAAAACTGACACATTAAACCCCAAACCTTAGAGATGGACCATAGCTCCTAGTCACCAATTTCCTGATCAGATCTATTCCCAATTGTCTCATCAGCTGTAGAGTGAAGGAACTCGTCATAATTCATGTTAACCATCTGACTGGACTGGTAGAGATGGGCGTTTGTGAAACTGGACATGTGAAGTCTGATCAGCATGTCTATGGAGCTGTTGCTAAAATCTCCACATTACACACGTAATTCAAGTGTGAGTCTGCTGAACACTGATGGGACTCCTAGCATGGAAACGCTGCGTTCACACGGCACGAACTCCACAGACATTTTATCACTAGACAGAAATAAGAAAAAGAAAAAAGTACTTTCACTGAGTTTGTTATTAGAAAATCTTTCTGTATTTACAGGTTTTAACAGACAAGCAAGTGCGGTCAGAGTGCTTATATACAGAGCAGCACGTTAAAATGAGTGCTAAAACATTACGGTATTTACAAATGGACGACAGCGGAAAATACACACTAAGAACAAGACTTATCACAAAACTTCAGGTACTCTACACAGTATCACAAATCCCATGGACTGTACAGTTAAAAACCAATAAATGGTAAATCTACATGAAATCCAGCGTTCCTCCAACTGAGAAGCCCTGAATCATAGATATTTACATTGTTTACATATAGTGTGTAAGCATGTATGTTCTCATACATTTATAGCTACCTGTGGTGCAAACGCAGCAAAAGAAATTACAACGTGTAGAATTCAATACTAAAAATAAACAGCTGTGCTAAATGGGCCGACTGACGCGATAAAGGTACACCATACAGAACTCATAGACTTGCAAAAGTAATATAGAGCGCAGGTAAATAATATTGTCCCAACGGTCTGAAGTGAACAAAACGTTGGTCAGTCATTCACAAACAGAAGAGATTGTCGATAATACTTCAAGTTCATGCAAAGTTAGAAACCGTTAGATAAACTAAACTTTTCCCTGTTGACCATCCAGCTGTGCAGCATTCCCTTCCTCGTGATGCAGAAGGTGCAGAACAATACGCGGGCGGGGTGCTTCCTGTGTCGCTATGGAACGGAGTTGGAGCGTAGTACGGGCACTTGGTGGGAGGGGCCAGTCTCCAGGTCAGCCTCGTCCTGGCTGGACGGGCTGCTCGCTGTGGCCGAGCTGGGTGGTGGCGTGGAAGTGGAGGCGGGGCCAAAGCAGGCTGCACTGCTGCGGGCGATGGAGCTGCTGCAACCAGCAGGGGGCAGCACCTTGCTCTCCTCCTTGGGCTGCCCGCTGGCGAACTCCGTGATGCTGAAGACAAACTGGAGGCAGCCCAGTTTGATGTAGCTGCCATGGTGGAGGAGGGCCGTTCCCTCCCAGCCCGCCCCGCTGCCTCCAATCAGCCGGGAGCTGCTCGCCTTACAGCTGCACGACGGCTCGGCCCCACCCTGAGGGTGGCTGCTCATCACCCCGCAGAGCGGCAGACAGCCCAGCGTGGGGCCGGGACCCTCGTCTTCCTCACGCTTCCTACTGCGACCTGCACACACAACACAGGCAGCAGGTCGGAAAAAGGACCCGGGGGGGGGGGGGGGGGGGGGTTTCACTCATAGAATCTTTTGACTTTCTTTAACACATAAAGTACTACTACTAGTTCTTCAGTGTGTATCTGCTCCGTCTCCTCCATCCCAGTGAGCCATGAGCGATGGCTGCTCACACTGAGGTCTCTTCCTGTTAACCCATTCACCGCCACTGACGACTGAGGCCTTCAGCAGCGTTTTTCACAGGGCGGGCCTGGGAACTACCTCCAGAGTAAACATCATGCCTCTAAAGTTGATTTTCATCCCCGAGTGTCACACGCCCCGTAATCAGGAAGTGGACAAGCCATGAACTAGGAGATGGTTTTGGGACGCTGCTACGCCTAAAGCGAGGCGCTAACAGCTTCTCCCGTCTACTCTTGCTTTGGTACTGGTGGTGTTTACATCATCACAGAGCTCGATGTTCTGTGACTCTTCCAAAAACAGTAGAAACACTGGCAGTGAATGAGTTAAGGGAGTTTTCCTCTCCACTGTCGCTGCATGCTTGCTTAGTATGAGGATTGCTGTAAAGACTCTGACACTAGTCAGTGACTCGATGCCACCTGCTGGGTTCTTATATAGGAACCTTTACTGATTGGCTTAATGACCCAACTCACTGTTTAATGAGTTGGTTCAAACAATAACAACAACAACAGTAACAACAACAACAGTAACAACAACAACAGTAACAACAACAACAACAGTAAAGTGCAGTGAAGGAAACAACGGCGCTTACGGATGATGCCTTGGACCTTTGCCACCAGGCCACTGGGTGAAGATGGAGAGGCTTTCTCTGAGAAGTCACACGAGTACAACACGTTGTCCACCGTGGTGCCATGCTCGCTGTAGTTCAGCAGCTCATAATGCTTGGTGTTCTGAAGGAACACACACACACACACACACACACACACACACACAGCATCATCTGCATGCTCAGCCCCGTGAACACATGTCCACACTGCGGGCTCGTACCTCATCATAGAAGATGCAGGCGTGCTTCCCAGATACGTAGTTGCAGGTACCGTAGTTTGTAAGGCACACGTCCATGTCAGCACCTTCACACAAAACAGGAAGTGAGCCGGGCTCGTACAGGAACTAAACAGCTGTTTAACTTATTCTAAAACAACATGTTGGTTTCAAATGGTCGCAGGCTGACAGACGACCACAGATGGATGAGAGCATAAGAACAGAATGCACTACAGTGGGCTCTGGTTACCTGATCCTATGTATAGAGTCCTGTAGCACATGCTGACGGCTCCTCCTCTTCCTGTTAGCGGGTAGAAAACCGCCCGGGCCTGCACCTTCCTCTGCCCTGGAGACAACAGCACGCAGCTTTTACCCCAACAACCTCTTTATCAAACGTTAGGTATAACAAGAGCACATTCGGGGGTGAGGTAGTGTCTCACTGTCAGGGGGGGGCGACGGAAGTTTGGAGGCAGCGCTGGTGGACGGTACAGGTGAAGAACTGGGAGCTCTGGGAGGAAACAGCTGCTGGATCCTCTGATAGGCCAGCAGCTTGATCAGCTCTGCATCCAGTCTGTCCAGTTCAATCTCTGATCACACACACACACACACACGCACACACACACACACACACAGTTAAACCCTGGCTTGGACCGGGACAGACGGTTCCACGTGGGCAGACTTACTCCCGTCTCCCCGGTCGTTGTTCATGCAGGAGGACAGGTTGGAGATGGACGCCGGCGCTCGGGGCGGCAGAGCAGGACCCGCCTTCACGTCTGCAGAGAAGCACCAAGTCAGCACCTCACATCCAACTAGAGGATGAAACCTCAGACTCATGCAGAGCTAATTATTTCCCATCGGAGTTTGTTCCAAGCCTTTAATGCTAAACACATTCGTTACTCAGCAGCGTTGGAAGCTTGACCCGACCTCCTCCGGGAGCGCTGCTCCACCAACTTCCTCAGCCAGAGACAGAAACACACAAACGGACGTGCTAACACCACCTACATGTTCTAGATTTTGGTAAATGGCCTGTAACTGACCTAGCACCTTCTACAACCGCCCAAGGCACCTTACAACACACTCACACCGGCAGTGATGAGCTACACTGTAGCCACAGCTACCCTGACAGCGGCGAGAAGCCTCCGACCACCACTAGCAGGTCTCGCTGCGACAGAAGGGCGTTGAACCTGCAACCATTCAACTATGGGGTGTTCACTCAACTCCTTTACCACCGTCGCCCCACGCTTGTGGAACCTCACTGGACTCATCAGAGAGCAGGAAGCGAGTCACCATGGCGTCTCAGCAGCGCTGCCACCATTAGTCCGGTCGCCACGGCAACAACAAACTAAATAGTGGACGTTTAGTCTGTGAGCATTTTTTAAATCTCGGCTGCTGCAGCGCCTTCGGCGGCCGCCTTCTGCTCGAGGCACATGATCAGTGGCGGCCATCTGGGTCAGCCGTCCAATCAGAATCACCGGAGAAAGATGACATCACAGTGAGTCAGCAACGCAGCTCAAACGTTTGGGAGCATTCTACAAAGACCAGAGAGCAAACCCTGCAGGAACTCTCCTTCCACGGCAGCACCTCAACAGGAAGCACGTCCCGGTGGAGGTCTCGTTAGCCGCTAACATCAACAGAGCTACGGTGTTCGTGGGTGTAGCAACAGCAGCAGCGACGGTGACGTTACCGCCATTAGAACACGTCTCGCATTTGCTCCAAACAGCCATTATTTATAGTATCCCGCTACGTTAGCTAAAAAGCACTCCGCCTCTTCAACGACGAGTCGGTTACAGAGCCAGAAGACTATTTCAGCTGGACTCACTTGTGAACACAAGTCATGTGTGTGTATATTTGGTCCACTAACAGGTTACAGTTATTAAAGTTGTTGATGAGCTGTAATTGACTTTATCATTAGACGGTACGTAACTGATCACTCTTCAGGCTAGGAGCTAACGGTGGTCTATTAGAGCGTCTATAAGCTAAACTTATGCAGGACACAACTGGCCGTGGTGGCCGCCCTACCTCTCAGGTATCACTGGCCATGTTTCATCATCACCAGGATGTTTTACACGTGGCAGCATTCGCTTGTGAACCCAGTCCAGCAGGATTTATCATCTGCTTTCATTCCTTCACTCATCTGAGGCTCCTGCTGTCACCATGTGCTGAAATGGAACTGACATGGCAGCACGTGACACGTGCACAAGCACTCTGCCTGAAGCCGTAACTCTCCTACTCACACTCAGCACCGATATAAGCTCGGAGGAACCTCCCGCCAGGCGTCACGAACCCAGAACCCCGGTGAGCAGCACACTCCAGCTGCCGTCACCTCTACGGTGGTCAGAAGCTTCTCACACTTCAATCAGAGCTAAATATTCCTTTATTTGCACTCAGCTGATGTTATTATTGACAGTTTAGCAAGTAGATAAGGTGGAAACCATTGAGCTGTGGGCCGTATGCATCAGCCCACACCTGTGTGTGTGTGTGTGTGTGTTAGGCCGACGCCTTCATCCAAATGACACGGACAAGGTGAACCGTCGGAGCTGGGTTAGGGTTAGCGAGGTGACGTACCTGAAGTTGGTAAAGACGGCTCCATCTTGGTCGGGTCGTGTTCTTGGCTGCCTTTAGGTGCGTCTGAGTGTGAGCTGCTGGTGATGGAGTAGCTAAGCTTCTCGTCTCGGCTCACGGACTCCTCCTGGAGCTCCGCCGGGCCCCGGTGGTTCTGCTGGCTGCTGAGGGGCCAGACCGTAGGGCAGCTTTTCTGAGCGCAGGTCTCAGGCTCCTTTTTAACCGCTTCACTTCCTATGTGGTTGACCGGCTTCAGGGCAGGAGCCGGGTCTGGGGGGGTTGTACTAGGCTTCAGTGTGCGCTGCAGCCCATCCTGCCTGCAGGGGTCGGAGGCACTCTTACAGTCTATTGGTCCGTTGGCTTTGGATGGCTCCAGCTCTGCCAGAGGTCCGTTAGGTCTCCTACAGTTCTGACACGGGTCCATGCTGCATTTACAACCAGCCAGGCCTGCTAGGGTGTCTCTGCTAATAAAGGCCCCTGGGGGGGGTTCAGGCTTAGAGCAGGGGCCAGGGGAGGAAGTCCTTTCCAGAGAGGCCCGGGTGTTCAGGTCCTCTGGTGCAACGCGTGCTTTGGCACCATCACACTCTGCTGAAGACGCTGCCTTCTGTCTGATGGAGAGGTGCCTCATGATGCTGCACTGGAGGGCTACGATGTCCTGAAGCCACTGCCCAACACAGAGACCGTGCTGTTGTTAGTGAGGAATAGGAAAGACTCGTCTAATCATTCAGATTTGATTAACGGAGCTTTTTCAAATATTTTTTACTTCATAATCCCAATCTGTCCAACCTGGAGCGCTGGAGGACCTACGCTTCTCAGCTTTAGGATTCCCCTGGAGGAAGTGGCTGGAGAGAGTTTTCCTAAAGACGCCCGGCAGACGCGCGAGCGCAGCGGTCCATAACCGACACGTTTACCCATGAGCTTCCTTCCCACTGCGAGCATTTCAGACACAAGCAGCAGCGCCAAAGTCCCGCGCTGCCACAGGAACCACAACATCACGCGTGACTTCATCAGTTCCCACGACAACAAGCATGGCAGCATTTATACACAAAGCTCTGTGGTTTATAGTCTGTTCTGCTCACCTCGGCTACATTTCACAGGAAATGACGTACTTTTGTGGCTATTAAGCAAACGGAGATCTGCACACGACTTATTTAGAAAGTATCCGGATTTTTTACTCCTTTTGTGTTTGACTTCCTGTCTGGCCTGATCTGAACTGCTAAAGGAAGCATAGTGCAGAATAAATAGACTTGATGCATAAATGTATTTGTTTTGACTTGAAGCATGACATTGAAGCACTTTCCGCGCGGTGATGCGGCTCGCGGATGGAACGCGCTTCACAACCTGCAGCGTTTATGGTTCGTGCGGCTCGTCTCTGCGGCGAGCCAATATTCTCCCAAACTGTAGGGGGCAGCATGGAGCTCTACGGCATGCATCCAACACTACACCATAGTAGAAGTAGAAATTACTGTTTACAACACGGCATTCCAGCATTTTTAACAGCGTCCTCGTCTTTTCCGACAGTGCGAGCTATTTCTCTCCAAGAATTATTAACAACATGTTGATCACGGTGATCTCTGAGAGCTGAATCATACAAATGTCTGTATTTACCAACCTCTGCCATACTAGTTCTTGCCAGTCCGCCATGTTCTTCCGCGTCCGTCCGTCCGTGTGGTTAGAAATTTTCCGAGGTGCGCGTTGCGGAAATTCTGGGCCGTGTGGAGGCGCGTGGTCGTTAAAATGACGCAAAATGACTCAACGTTTCCGCGCGGAGCCGTGCGGACCGCGCGGACGCGTCAAGCATAAACCAACCTTGAGTCTAGCAGAGCAACGCGTCACCAAACCTCTGGATCTACCGAACACGCACCTATCGACTAGAATGCCGGCCAACGGCGGCGGGCTTCACTTTGCAGACGTTACGCAATGCTTACGCATCCAGTGGAAAGGCCTGGCGAAAGCGCTGAAACGACTCATTCTGGAAGGTCCTGAAAATGCCAAGATTACAAGTGCTGAATTTGCTGTAAGTGAGAGGAATTTAGTGCAGAAACTTCACCAACATGTTTTGCACAAGCCATCGAAATATTCTAACCAAACAAGCGGTCGTGCGTCTCCTCTGATACTGTAGAGTGCAGGGAAAACAAAACAAGTTGTGTTTGGAATATTCGTACAGAATTTGTGACTAAAAGGTTTCCAGGTCATGTGTAATTCTAGAACATGACCCACCTCGTCCTGCTCTGCCTCAGTGGTCTGGTGCTTATGAGGCTGATGGTCGGGAACGCCGCTACAGACCAGCTCCAGCTGGCGCACCCCTGCAGGAAGCAGCATGGGGGGAGGACTCTGGTACTGAGCCTTGATGGCATCTGGCACCTGAACGAAAACAACAGTTTGAAAACGTTCCTCTCCTAACACGCATTCTTCATCCGTGAGCTTTTTAATGACTGGAGTCAGAAAGGAGAACTCAGAGGATCGGTGATCAAGCGCTGATGTCAGACGCCGCCATGACATCATCACTCAAACACACACCAGCGGACAGAGCAGCGGTCTACCTTAACGGTTTTCCTGTTCTGCGGGTGAGTCGTGCGCCGATTGGGAGCGTTCCGCTGGTGGGCTCGGCGCAGAAAGTCCAACTTGACAGCGTGCTGGGAAACCCTGTCCTGGAACTGGTCAAAGAGCTGACAGCGACTGGACAAACTCAGGCTCTTCTGGTCCAGCTGGACAGAAAACAAGGACAATGAGAGAGAAAGCCACACTCCCACCCAAACGGATCAGACTAACAGGAAGTCGGCTTAACTCAAGACCAGTTTAGGCTTCTTACCACCAAGTGCTCAACGTGGTTTGGACACATCCACTTGCCCGCGGGTAAAGCTGTTAGTGGCGGGTCCAGACAGTCCATGTGAAAGAGGAGCGGACAGTAATCACACTGAATCAGCGGAGCCAGCCTGCAACTCCTGTGTGAAAAACAAACACACTTCAGCACCACAGACGGGTCAGTCTTCTGTCAGTGCTGAAGTTGGGTGTTTTGGTTTTGTCGTGTTGAGTAGAGCCACAGCCGGCTGACATCCCTGAGCCTGGTCTTTAGAAACATACCCTGCTTGGTGGGAGAATCCCAGTAGCACACTGGTTTCTAACCTGTTGCATGAAAAGCAGACTTTAACGGGTAGAGGGACGAGTCCGTTCGTGTCCAGTTCATGCTGGGGCCTTCTGAAAGGCTTCCCTAGGAGCTCCTCCTTCCTCCTCCGTTTGCTGCTGCCTGAAAAGCAACAAGACACCCTTCAGAAGCCCCCTACTGGTGAGAGCCGGTAATACACCTGAGTCCAAAGACAAGCTGGAGACAGGGGACTCTGACCTGAATGCTTTACTGATGTAACTACAGTTAGCTTTACTGGACGCTTGCTAAATGACATCCTGCTGAGCTTTACCATCCAGCCCACCGGACAACAGTCTCAGGTCTGTGGGCGTGCTAAAGGACTGACCTGGCAGCGCAGTGGTGCAGGTGAGCTCAGTCGGCAGCTGAAACTGGGTGGGGTTTCTCTCCATGGCTGCAGCTATTAGGAGCTGAAAGGGTCTCTTGAGGAGACGAGGTGTTGGAGCTGCTGACGTTGCACTCTCAGGCTCTGCTCCTGAAATATCATCCTCTGGCTCCACCACCTCCTCCTCTCCATCATTCTGCTCCTCTGATGGGGTTGGGGTAGAGGATGTGTTGGATGTCGGTGTCCCGGGACGACTGCTTGGCCTGCTGCTGGTCCTGCGGTCCAGAAGGCGGACCTGCGCTACTCTTAGGCCAGGACCTGCAGCTCCGGCTCCTGGAGGCAAACCATCGAGCCTCAGTGGCCCAGCAGTGGGCTCCAGCTCTACAGCGGGGGATGCTGAACGCTTAGACAAGCTCCTTTCCAGTAAACCATTAGTCTGTTCATTCTTCTGCTCCCGTTTCTGATGAGAAACAAATGAAACGGATCAAAAGGAATGACCTGATTGCAGCAAACGGCACTGACTCAGAAGAAAGACTCTTGGAAGGTTTATAATGAGCAGAGATAATATATGCTGTAGAATACACACACACACACACACGGTGGGACGTTCTGATCCATTCAACTATTAATCTAACAAAGTTCCTTTTTAAAGCAGACTGGTACGGGATGGGAAGCCTAATGACAAAGTGTTTAAAGTTCTTCAAATAGCTGAAGTTTTAACTGAAAAACACCTCAAGATAAATTAAATGAATGTAAATTTCATGTGCTAATATTTCAAGACCCGAACATCTCAAAGATGGATCACAACTTAACCTAATAAAAAAGAATCGTGCAGGCGCACCTGCAACTCACCTTTTTTCTAACGTTACAGCGATGACACATCCATTCACCTGGCGGGAGCATCTCTTCACTCAGAGGTGGGTTACTATAAACAAGCATAAACCATCAGGCTTGAAGGAGGAAATGATAACTGTCCATTCAGTCACGTGATTTAAACTGAATATCAAACCAAATCTTCTATTTGAAAATGCACTCGGAGGCCTTTTCCCAGCAATGACTGCCCCTGGTGGACGGATCATGCCATTACAGTAGAATATGTATAAAACTAGTTCCTCCACATGAAAGCAGCTGATCTAGGAACTGCTCTATAATAATCAGAGGCATCTGAAACGCATCAGCGGTGGGACACGTTACCGTGCGGGGTTATCACGCATAGCTGGGAAATTCCCGTGTTCACAGCTGGTTTAACAGTTCAGCACAACCTGTCACGTCCCAGATCAGCCTGCCACTGACCGCCATGACCAAATATAGTCAAATCGCTTCCAGGTGACAGCCAAAACGCAACTCCTCAACCAGATGTGATTAAGCAGAAGTTCCTGATGCGCCACCGGAAGTGTCACAGCGATCAACAACAACAACAACAACCGCTACACACTCACAAAACCACACCGCCGGTTTAATGCTATTCGCAAACCTTTCGCCCCTCGGCACCGAAATGTAAAGGTTGGTAAGATGGCGCTGAAGAGAGCAGAGAAGTCGCCATATTGTAAACAGAGGCAGCCTCGACTCCATTTTTAGCAGCAGCAGCAGCAGGAGAGGAGGACCGACTGCAAGTCAACTCTGCCTCGTTTAAACCGCAGAGAGCAAACCTTAATAACACACCTCTGGAGCAATCATCGAAGTTACGATCAACTGTCTGGTTATAACAAGCTAGGTAATAGGCGTGACAACATCCCCCGGTGTGTGCGATAATGCAGAGGGAACTTTATTCGTTCACAGAGAGATTATGTGCTCAACACCAACAGGCAGCTGGTAGTCCCAGAGCCGTTGGGTCATAACGGAATTCCTGTAATTCAGAGCAGAACTGACTTCTACAGCCCCACCATGGTTAGCGTCTACAGCCCCACCATGGTTAGCATCTACAGCCCCACCATGGTTAGCCTCTACAGCCCCACCATGGTTAGCATCTACAGCCCCACCATGGTTAGCATCTACAGCCCCACCATGGTTAGCATCTACAGCCCCACCATGGTTAGCATCTACAGCCCCACCATGGTTAGCATCTACAGCCCCACCAAGGTTAACATCTACAGCCCCACCATGGTTAGCATCTAAAGCCCCACCATCGTTAACATCTACAGCCCCACCATGGTTAGCATCTACAGCCCCACCATGGTTAGCATCTACAGCCCCACCATGGTTAGCATCTACAGCCCCACCATGGTTAGCATCTACAGCCCCACCATGGTTAGCATCTACAGCCCCACCATGGTTAGCATCTACAGCCCCACCATGGTTAGCATCTACAGCCCCACCATGGTTAGCATCTACAGCCCCACCATGGTTAGCATCTACAGCCCCACCAAGGTTAACATCTACAGCCCCACCATGGTTAGCATCTAAAGCCCCACCATCGTTAACATCTACAGCCCCACCATGGTTAGCATCTACAGCCCCACCAAGGTTAACATCTACAGCCCCACCATGGTTAGCATCTACAGCCCCACCATGGTTAGCATCTAAAGCCCCACCATGGTTAACATCTACAGCCCCACCATGGTTAGCATCTACAGCCCCACCATGGTTAGCATCTACAGCCCCACCATGGTTAGCATCTACAGCCCCACCATGGTTAGCATCTAAAGCCCCACCATGGTTAACATCTACAGCCCCACCATGGTTAACATCTACAGCCCCACCATGGTTAACATCTACAGCCCCACCATGGTTAACATCTACAGCCCCACCATGGTTAGCATCTACAGCCCCAACATGGTTAGCATCTACAGCCCCACCATGGTTAGCATCTACAGCCCCACCATGGTTAGCATCTACAGCCCCACCATGGTTAGCATTCACCGCCTAGCTAAAGCAGCACCACAGCGCGCGGAGCTGCTGCTGCTAGCCAGCACTCACCAGCACTGTAGGTGGAAAGCTGCGGGACAGTGGTCACAGCAGAGCAGGTCTCCCCCCTCCCGGCAGCTGTCGCAGGTGTCGTGGTTGGTGGCTCTGCCGCTCCTCCGGACGTCTCTCACCAACTTTCGACTCCTCTTGTCCACGTCTTCGGACTTTGGAGGCGCGAGTAGAGTTTGGATTTGCTGTAAAATGAAACCAGGGCGGTTACATTTACACAGGAAATTTAAAAACGTAAAAAAATGCAGGTTCTATGACCGAAGACTTGGTTGTTTATTAAAATAAACAACCAAGTCTTCGGTCATAGAACTAAGCGAGAGACAACACCAACTTGAGAGCACATCACAAACCCTAACCAGACTTTACTGACCAAGTCGCTCGTAAAAACGCTATAATGGCCATAACTACCCTAAGTAAAACAACATCAAACAACCAGAGTGCTAGAAAAGCTCAATCTTTCCACTGAGGCCTTCAAACGTAGCAACCTCACCTCCATTAAGCCCCCAGAGGTATCCAGATCGTACACAATCGTCGGAGTTTCCATTTTGTCCCACATTCATTCAGAAGCAAACGCTGCAGGAAAGACTTTGAGGTTTGATCTCCTTGAGATACACGGCAGTGAGTGCTAATCCCGCAAAAATGTTGAATTCCTAAAGATTGTGGCCAGCGGCAAGATGGTTAGCTATCACTAGCTAGCTAAAAAGCTAACTACGACGCGCAAGACGTCAGCCAGTCAAGGTTGTGAAGCTAACGGGCTCGGTCTTATCAACAGAAGAAGTCAGAGAAAGACGCGAGCCTGGTAGCACCACTTTTATGTGCAATCACCGAAAATACATCCAGTATTTGATGATCAATGGATATTTGCTCATGGCGACAAAATCCATCGGCGGCCTAGCTGGCAAGCCATGATTCTCGCTTCTGGTCCTGCAAAAGGGAGCCCTGTAGATCTGCAAACCCCTCCGCTCCCATTGTCCACAGAATAAAGAACCAAACAATCCACTTTGAAGTTCGGCGTGCCTCGGTCCAAAACACAGCTTCCGAGCGCGTTTAGAAAATGTAATACTCGATTCAAGGGTGTGAAGATGCAAATTTAGATGTTATTGTTGTGGGGAACGGCTGTGCATCTGCACGGGCTATTAGCAACATCCTACCAGTTGGCGCAACCGCGAACCGCCAGACGCGCATGCGCACTGGTAAAGGAAAGAAATGGACAACATTGTAACGATACTAATATTGTAATGAGTGTAACGAAGTGTGAGTCCGTTGTAGACCATTAAAGGCTCTTGCAGCAGTTAAAAAAATTCAAGCCTTAAAACACACAAAAAAAGGTCTTTGAGAAAGTGTAGGCGTTAAAATAAAAGTAAAGAAATGAAGCTTCAATTTATTTTCATCTATTATACTTTCAGCTATTTAAACTCATCAATGAATGTTTAAAATGGTCAGGAAAACCTTTGCTTTTGGTTGTGCGCTCAAACACGCGGCAATACGGTATTGTTCCTTTGAGTTTCTTCAAAATAAAATTTCCGGGTTACATTATTTAGATCCATAAACATGAACCTCAGTTTTCATGTCTATGTTTAGATCACATATAATACTTTTATTACACATATAGTACTTTTCAATTCTACATTGTGGTCAATTTCTTGCTGAGAAAGTGTAATTGCTTCAGTACAATGAAATTGGAATAATTAAAAATAATTGAAAGTGACCTAAAGTGGCATTTTAAAAGTTCTTGTCAGCTCATGAAAGAACCTGTTACCTTCACTGTCTTTTTTTTAGTGGAATGGCAGAATCAGCAGAAATAGGTTGCTGAACTTTTCTGGAAAAGGCTTGGTTTAGGAAAGTTTTCAAAGAAAAACTTGATGTAGTAGCTTTGTTTTGTTTGTGTTACGTTTCCTGTGCGATGTGAAGCAGAACGGGCTGCTTTTATTTTGAAAGTAACTCATTCGCGATGTTACCGTAACTTCCGTTTCTGTTAAAACTGTTTATTGAATCGCTGAAGAAAAGATTCAGAACTTTTCCACACAATAAGCAGATTGTTGGTTATTAATTTAGAAAACATCGGGACGGTTTTCAAACTAAAATTAATTCGAAACGAATGAATTTACTTTTATTTTACTTTTTAAACTAAAGGAAGGACAATATAAAGCTCCCAAAATGCAACATTTAAAAATTTGTATATTTTTATGCAAACTGTTGGGTGAAACTCAGACAATGCAGAAACTGGTCGTCCTTGGTCTGGTGATGTTTCTCTGCTTCACCAGCAGAGGGAGCCACCGCCTTAGTGTTTAGCCGGATAGGGTTATGTTTTTGTTGCTTTGCTGATGGAATGATTGTGATCTCTTTCTACAGTTTCTGGTTGGGCCTAGTTGATTTTATCCAGAACGACTTGATTTATTAGCTTTAAATATGTTCATAATGATTACATTCAGTGTTCAGGCTATCCATTATCACTATGTTTTTTATTTTGAGGAAAGAGTTTTATTATTCAATAAAAAAGGCGGTTCATAACAAAACTCTTGCTCACTCTCTTTCTTAACTGCTTTTCATCAGCAGGGTTGCAGGGGGCTTTCTAACTCCAGCAGTCATTGAGCGAGATGCAGGAGACACCCTGGATAGGTCGGACAACACACCCACTCACACCTAAGGACAGTCATCATACCTGATGCTGGACTGCGAAACCAAAATTGTTGAGCTACTCATGAATAATCAGCATATTCAGTATTAATAGCCTTTTGTATTATCACATATTTTTCCAATCAAACTTGATATTTAGAATAAAGATCTTAACTTCTAGAATTTAATTTAACCCTGCAGAACTACGACCTCTCTGACCTGCTCTGATTCTTTCTTGGTTTCCTTGTACTCGATTTTTCCTCGTCTCCCAGATTTTGTATGATTCACTTTCATTCATTCTTCAGAGATTTCACCACTTAGTCTGATGCCCAAAGGTGCTTTCAACTTCTAATTTAATTTGATTTAATGTGAATCACTGCAAATCTCTGACTGAATTTTAATTCACTTGTTTTATCAATTTGCTTAAAGCTGCTATCCAGAGTTTCCCCCTTTCAGGACTATGATTTTTTAGAAATCCATAAAAGTGATTGTTCTCGTTTGGGTAGCCTTGGATTTTCCTGGACATCTTTTCAGCCCTCTTCTCGAGGAGGTCTGCCTGGAGCCGGGCCGACACACCCACTGCCGACTGATTGGCTGACTGAAAAGCACACCTATTATTATTGGGAACCTCCGACTGGCAGATAGAATCAGCCCGCGGAGGCTTCCCGCATGCATGATTCATTATCCTTCTGGATGCTGTGGAGTTAACAAGCCTCTGACTGAAGCCGTTTCTCTCTGTCCCTCACTGCAGTGAGGAGCGCACACACACACACACACACACACACACTGACACATACACAGTACTGCCAGACACAGCAAAGCGGGATGCAATATCAGAGTCAGAGTCTCAAAAAGCAAGACTGCTCACACTACTTCTCCGCACTCTTTTGCTCCGCCCATGTGCTTGGAGATGCGCTCATTATATCACAGACCACCAACCGCCCATGTGCTCAATCACAACTGCATTCCTAAGGCTGCTCATTATATCACAGACTGGGAAAAATTAATGCAAGTCCACAGGGAGCCTAACTCACGCCCTTCTACTTCTGCACCATGGGTCCCCAGAAGAACGACAAAATGAAGGCAAGTCAATGGGGCTAAAATTTGTGAACAAACCAAAGGAGATGATTTTAGACTTCAGAAGAAACAGGGTGGAGTCAAACACTGTTTCCATCATGGGAGAAGAAGTGGAGGTGGTTGAGGAATACAAATACCTTGGAGTTCACCTGGACAACAGACTGGACTGGAGAAAGAAAAGCGAAGCCGTTTACAAGAAGGGACACAGCAGACTGCACTTGTTGAGGACGCTTAGGTCCTTCAATGTCTGTAGAAAGATGCTGCAGGTCTTCTACAAGTCTGTTGTTGAGAGTGTAATCTCTTCAGCCATCGTCTGTTGGGGTAGCAGCATCAGAAGCAGGGACCTGAAAAGGCTCAACAGCCTAATAAAAAAGGCTGGTTCTGTTCTGGGGACGACTGTGGAACCACTGGAGGAGATAATGCAAAGAAGGATTCTCCAGAGAATCAAGAAACTGATGGACAACCCTGAGCATTCTCTTCACAAGACTGTCCGACAACGGAAGAGTGTCTTCAGTCAGAGGCTTCTTCAGTTTGGCTGCAACACTGACCGCTACTGGAGATGCTTCCTGCCAACAGCCATTGTAATACACAACAACTCTTTGATGACTTGATTATTATTATTATTCTGAGCTAGTACAGCAATCAGTTTCCCTCTGGGATTAATAAAGTATTTTTGAACTGAATTGAATTGAAACATTGGAATTCCACCCTCATTCGCTAGGGGTTTTCTTCAAAACTGAGCAAGTTCCCAACTCCCATGTTAAAAATGCCAATTTCACAGGAGATTTTTACAGCCTGGTTCAATAAAACTATTTTAGGTTTAATAGAGAGCCTAAGTCACACCCATGGAAAAATGGAAAAAGGAATGCAAGTCAATGGGGCTAAAAACGCTATTTTCTAAATCCGCTTGTTTTGTTCCATGGATTTCACATCTAATGTCCATGAATTTTAAAGAAGCTTTTTGATGCCAAGAAAGCGCTTATTTTCAAACGGGGGGTGGGGGGGGGGGGGGGGGGGGGGTGGAAGCTATTTTAGGTTTTGTGTTAAAATAAGTCCAAATGTACAAATGTGCTTCATCATTGAACCAGACACAAAGAAAAACAGAAGGAAAATGGCTGTAAGTTCCGCAAACTTCTAATCCTTCCTTCAGGAGGAAAGAACCACCATAAATATCACCATGTGGTAAGTAGTAGCTACGTTAGGGGAGGCGTGATTATGTGGTGACGGTGTCGGTACAGGATCTGCACGGGTGCAAGATCGGCTCGGGGTCCTTCGACTGCCGATGACGTCAATGTACGGCAAACCCACTCGGACAAAATACACTACACATCTATACTGTTGGAAAGAATTTAGCAGTTTCGTTATTAAAATAATGTTTCTTAAGACGTAAGTTTGTGTTTATAATGGTATTTGTAAATTAAACACTATATTTTATTCATGATGTTGAACTCCTCTTTGAGCACATCCCTTGAAGGATCATAGGTATTAGTAACACCTGTGAAATTGTATTTGCAGGAAAGAAGTGTGTCCCGTTTATTTAAGTATTTTGTGTTTAGAGTTTTTGACATCTTGTCCTATGGGGTGCCATTTGTAAAGTCAAACAGTCATAATCTAACAGCAATATTTTTGGTTATTTAGCAAATAAGAGAAAAAATTGGGAGTTCACTTTTTCAAATTCATCTTTTCACCATGTAATTCATACATTTATAAATGTTAAAGTTTCCAAATAAATATTTAGTTAGCAAGCTAAATATTTAATCTATAGTTAAATATTTCTTTTGCAAACTAAATATTTAGGTCTGATCTAAATATTTAGTTTGCAAAAGAAATATTTAACTACAAATTAAATATTTAGCTTGCTAACTAAATATTTATTTGGAAACTTTAACTTTAGCATTAGCATTCCTATGGGTTTTTCCATGTACATTAGCATTGCGCTAACCACTCGCTGCCAAATTGCAGCCTTTGCGATTAGAGAATCTCCTTTTGTCACATCACAATTTAATTGCACATGCAGTTAATCGTTCAGCCCTAATATACATGCAGCTCTATGCTAAAAGTGTATTTTCAAAGAGGTAATGACGGATTTCTTTGTAAAAGTTGTCCATCTTCCCAACAGAAAGATTTGCCTGGACCAACGTAAAGTGATAACAACGTAACGTGATTACGTAATTCCGTACGGTTCATGTTCAGCCAATCAACTACTTTGACGTCATCGGCAGTCGACGGACCCCGAGCCGATCTTGCACCCGAGCAGATCTGGTACCGACAATGTCATATGAGACGTGCTGATGTCTGTTTTGTAGTCATGCTATTTACGAACATTTACAAGCTGAAAAATCTCAAAGTATGTGACAGACATGTTCGAAACACCCATCTTTAGTTTTCATTTAAATTGCAGTACAACATATGCGCGATCCAGGGCCGAAGGCAAAGCGGATTAGAGAGTAGCTCTTTTAGCCCCATTGACATGCATTCACTTTTTTATTC